CGGTGTCGGGGAGAAGTAGTAGTGGCGTTTCATAATCCGGCCGGACGAGTTAAACGCTAAAACCCCGCCGAGGCGGTGCTCATGCGTTCTGGAACTTGCGCCGCTGTCGTGGAAACTTCGTCCATTCATCTCTTTCCCCGCTTTCCGACGTCCTGTACAGTTTCTGGTTTACGGCGCTTCGTAATCGAGATCTCGAATTCAGCCTCGAAGTCGACGTTCGCTCCGACTTCCTCCAAATTCGGCCGATGCGATCGAATCGTGGTTCGTCCGATGTTTCCCCCAAAAATAGGGAATTTCGACACTTTCCAAAATTCCGTCGTTTGACCGATATCTCGATTTCTTCTACTTTTCTAATGCAATTTCACGCGAGAAATCGACGTTTAACGTGATGTGAATCTGGCGTGAAAGCAGTCTCATTTATGAAACTTATCTTCAAATTGGGAATTTCGAATCGTTTTAAACCTCACCATGTGAATTTAGAGACTATAAGGAAAGTCCCATGAAATTTCAATTTAAAGATAATTTATTTACAGCTATTTAAAAAAAATAACTGTGAAATTTAAATAAATAGGGAATTTCGGCACTTTTGCCGGAAATTCTGTATTTTGACCCGATACGATATTTCGGTTTCTTGTATTTGTCTAATGCAATTTGACGCGTGCACTCGACGTTTAGGTGTCGTTTGTGTACCCCCTGTACCGAATGACCGATAAACAATATCCGGCGATATGCAGAAGGGGTGTCGGATTTGCTATGAATTTCTGTTATTGACTCTCAGTCGGACTGACAATTAAACCGGCTCAGGGTGGTTTACATGCGCGACATACGGCCAGGATTATGGAAGAATTAAACGGTCAATCGTTCCGGCCCTATGACACCCTCGAATTTACCAAATATACCGAATACACCGTGGAGATATGGCGAGCGAATGGCCGCTCGATGGAAACTCGATTTTCCGGAGAATCCCCGCTCGCGAAAATAGAGAAACAAAGGGAAGGAACGGCTCGCTCGGGACGGCTGCGCCGGTTAAGAATCCCATGTAAAATGTACACCCCCTCGGGACGGTAAAATCAACTCGATCGATTTCCAGCCGAGTTATTTTTACTCCACTCCGTAGTTTTTCCATTCGACGGAGGTTAATTTCTTTTTCCTCCCGGGCGTAGAAAACCGACCGGTCCTCTCTTTGCTGTCGGTGCAACCTAACCAACAAGGAAGATGCATCGCACGAGGAAGGTGATGGATCTTCCTCGACGTTATCGGCCTGACGGAGAAAGCAGATTGTCGAAGCCGACCATAAATCTTGGCAAACCTCCGTGGATTAAGGATTTTGAAAGAGGGGAAAAAAGAAAAATCGGGCGACTTAGCCCGATATGAAAAATAACCTTATTAACGAACTTTCAAAATGGCGCTAACAATTTCACTATGTCCTTATACAGTGGAAATAAAAAAATTGACTTAAAGAAATATCCATTGCTAAAACATAATTCTGCGGTCAAATGCGTTTAAAGAAATGTCAGGAAGAGTATAGAAAATTCGTATATATTTTTTTTGGGTAATTAATCTTTTTTTGGCGTAAAAATTGTAGGTGGCCAAGACCACTGGGGTAACATATCGCGGGGGATCGATGGTACTTCATTTTCTTCGGGATCTTTGATCCACTTTATGACTTATTGCTTCGCGATATCCTCCATCCGCCGGGAGCGAAGGCATAAAAAGGGGAAAATTTATTTCGTAGCCGCGCGTGGTACACCTGTTTCCCTCGGCCATTTTCCAGGTTTTACACGACTTTTTTTTTTTTCCGCCCGCCACGCGAGATTATCTCGCACGCGATACCTGCTCGTATTTCCGTGCGTACTTTGACGAGTCGAATTAGTGCGTTCGCGGGTCCTCGGGGGAGTTTCAGTTTCCATGGAAATCACGCGAGGCGGAATCGCGACTCTCGTTGCTCGTAAGACCATTTACCTAATTAACAAGGGTCGAACCGAATTTCGAGCCGCTTGTCCGAGTCATTTCGGCCAGCGATGAATTCATCCTACACCTGACTGGCCTAATTTGCGTATGTTACGCTCTAGTCATCGTGAGTCGAACGACGCGTTACGGATGCATCACGAGATGGACTCACCTACTGACTTGGGCGTCGCCCCGTCGACGTCAGGCGTCGTTCCAAACATGCGATCAGGGACCTTATTTGCGATTTCACACGATCAACTTTCGCATCCAGAGATGACAATGGGAATCTATTCGTATGGGAAAAAAAAAACAAAAGCTATAAAAAAATCCTGCGATGAAATATATCCAAAGAAATGTCAGGAGGTGTGAAGAAAATTTATTTAAATCAATTATATAATGTCCCTTCTCGGCAAAATAATTCTTTCGCGGAAGTATATGTGATTCAGGCAACGATGTATATATATATATTGGTTGAAATGAATGAATTTTGTTTTCCCTCTTTTTGGAGAATTTTTTTTTGACGAACGAGACCGCTTTGCTACCCAGAATGCTGGAACCGGGCGAAGGAGTAATCATCGGAAGGGGGTTGAAAAGGAGGACAGTCGGAAGGGTTCGAGTCGTCGAATCTCTCCGGGATTTAAGGCTTTGACGCGCACCAGGAGGTCCTTCGTAATTGGCCGAAGACTCCCCGTCGAGGCTGATTTCCTCCCCGGATTGCCACGTCGGGCAATCCCTCCCTACCTGGCGATGTCGAGCAAACGGACGTTGTTTGCCCAATCGCTGGGAAATTCTCTCGAGCGCGTGCACTTCGCCACCTGTAAAGGACGACCCGGGACGCTTCTTTCCCCAAAGGAAATCATTTCGCAAACGTCGGAGGCAGCTGTCCGTCCGAGGCAGAATCCATCCCTCCGAAACCCTGTGAAAGGGCTTCTCGTTGGTCGCAGTCCGACCTGGAGCGCCTCTTCGCGAAATGATATTCCGCTGGATGCAGGAGCTCTCTGGTCCCATTCCCTTGAAAAATGGTTCCTCGTTGCCCTTTGTCGGCTGTCTCGTCAAAAAACCGATTCCTCAATTTCTCCACCCCCGACGAGACGGTTCCACGTAGGCTGGCCGTTACGTTCACTGGGAAATCGGTGAAAACGATTTCCCTCCCCGAGAGCGGATGGCTTTTGACTTCATATGATAAACAACAATTGCAATTCGGTAACAAGTGACGTTCAATCGTTTTTCGTCGTCGATACAACAAATGTTTATCGATGAAAATTTTGCCAGCCCACTTTCAAGCGTTCGCATTAATTGTGGCAATTAAAATTTCTCGTTACGACGGAATTTCGGAGTCCGAAAACGGTGGAGGAGAGGAGATTCCGAGTTCATCGTCGAATCGATCCCCGATCGCTTTTCCCGCCCTCTCCGTAATTTTCTCCCCCCAGGTGCCGGCCCCTGAGACCGCTTTCCTGATTCCAGCTCACCCGGGACCGCGAGAAGCCGAATCAAGGATGTACCCTGGACGGGGGGCATCTCAAATCGTTACGTCGTTATCGGTGCAGCCACGGTGGAGGTGGTAAACGATTAGTGGCGGTTAAATCGGAGTTTGGAACGATGGATGCCCCGGAAACGTGAACGGAGAACGTCCGCAAGACCTCGCCGTCCTGCCTACGTCAGCCCTCAAAGAAACGTCGTCGACGAACACCTCGTCAAGAACTCCGGGGACCTCCCGAAGGAACCACAGTCCAGGTCCCTAAAGGAACTCGAAATCACGATCTTGGATCGAGATCCAAGCTCGATCGTCGCCAAGGCTCGGTTTCCAGAACTTCCGGTTCCGTCGATGGACGAGGATTTGCTAAATCGGCGACCTGGAGCCAGGAAATGATGCTCGTCGAGCCGAGTGCACTCTAAACGTCGCAAACAAGGATCGGGAGCTGGAGTCCGTATTCATCAGCTTAGACCGTTCAATTTTGAGGACTTCATTGTGCAGCGATAAGGACGGTTAATCTAAACGTTGATTACGCAGGGTGGACCAATGAAAGCGAAGATTAATCGCCGGATTTAATCCTTGGGAATCCAGGACGACTGGTGGTCGGGAACACTTTGAGGGGAATCCGGATCAGTCGCGAGGAGCAAAGACCCAGGTGTCCAGGATTCGGACAAGGCGTCGCCATTGTTGCGTGGGCGACGTTAATCCGACGAGATCAAACGATTGGATTTGTGGAAGGCGAGGACACGCCAGCGTCCCGGTGCTCCGGATCGATCAAACGGCACTCCAGAGACGGCACCGTCGCGACGCCTCGAAAATTAATCCGGGGAGCCGAATCAAAGGGGGGAATTCCGCCGCTCAAAGGGGCAGGACCGGAAGGAGAATTCGATGGATCGAGGAGCATCTCGACCGGCATTCGTGCAACAGGCAGACATTTCTGCGTGAGAGGAAGGAGACCCAGAAGAGGCGGCGTCGATGCCGAAGGGACCACAACAAAGCGGAGCTTCGACTAGGAGATCCGCCGATGACGAAGAGTGAACGAGGGCGATGGGCTTCCCCGAAGGAGGAGTTCTAAGATCCTGACACGTCGCCAGGGTGCCCGGGAAGCTGATCTGGACCGAAGAGGACGCCTATCTGTGGGAATGACCGAGGTCCACCTGCATCCAAGCTGATGATGCACTCTCGGGTCTTGGTCTAGGTCGAGGGTCCTCTTCGGCATCGACTTGCGGTTTCTCTCGAAGGACTCTTCAGCTTGATGTCCCTTTCTCCAAGCTCTTCGATCGTTCCACCAGCTGATAACGAGATACGCGCCGGTATCAGCTGATCCACCCCTTGGTGATGCGCCCTCCTTCGATTCAGTCCTCCGAAAGGACCTCCTGGTGACATCGTAGCGCCTCCGGGTGGCGGCAATTCATTTTCGGAAGCTGCTAGTGTCTCGGTTGAGTGAAAAGGTGGAATGTACTGTCTCAGCGTGGCATGCAGGTGCGGCGGCGTGGATAATGCCGGAGAGAGATGAGACTGGAGCTGGGGGAAGGGCGAGGAAGAGGACCGAGATCGGGAGAGAAGAGGTACAGCCATGTCATGGGAGTCCATCGCGTCCAGGGAATACAGGCATGTATCCATCTGCCGGGGCAAATATTTACTCCCCGGCATCGAGCCGGAAAGTGCCCTAAGAGGGCTCCTAGGGAATAAGGACCTCCTGGAGAGGGGACGTCGATGGGACGTCGATGGAGGGTGGAAAAATTGCTTCCCTCTGTCGCTTTGCTTCTTGCTCTTAGACAACACGCTATCGTTCAATTTATGACACTCTAGATTTTGGAATTTATGGACATCCGCTAGTTCATTGCGGTAGCGAAACGTGGAATTTTTATTTTAAATGGCTGGTAAATGTTTACATATTCTACGATATTCGTTAAGTATGTTGAAAATGACAAGTATTTTCTGCTAGTGAGGGGAAACTCAGAAACGAAAAATTCGGAGATCTCGGCAGACTTCTCGATTAGAGTCTGGAATTTTTTCCACTGGGCATTGGTTAGTGAATAATTATCCAATTAAAGCGGCTCGTGTACAAACGGATCTTGCAACGAGTTAAGCGACGCGAGTGACAAAGACGGATAGAGGGTAATTCCGGGGGCGATTTTACAGGGACGATAAATTAGGTTCGATATACACACCGACCGAGTTCCTTTTCTTCGGGATAAACTTCCCGATAAACTTGGCTCGTTCTTCAACGGGTGTCACGCCGGGGAAGGAATAATTGACAAGTTGAAATCGCTCGTGTACACCTGCCGAACTAGTTACGGACTTTCCTCAGGGGATTATTCGACTTCGCTTTTTAATACCCGAGCCCGAATTAATTCGAGGTAATTACTGGACCCAGGGACGAGTTGATATCCAGGCTGGCAATAAAAATCCAGAACCTCTTTGCGAGTTCGCGAGAGGCTCCTTGCTCTACTTGGAAAGCTCTGCCGAGATGTAAAGGGAAAATTGCAGACTGCGGATATAATTACAAGGCCGGGAAGTTAGGGCGAGAGGGATTGTCTTTCCGAGTTCTTTCTCGCGGATTAACTTCCCCGGGAAACTTTTCAGTTATCGTAAATTGGTAGGGCATAATTGACGGATGAAAATCGGTAACCTATAATTGAAGTCCACCCGGGAAAGAAATTACTTTCCGGCAGACGAGGCGATTTGAAAGGTCGCTTTGTACCACCCATTCGTGAAAATCCTTTGGAAGGTTCGGATGCGTGACACCGCCGAAAAAAAATAAAAAATAAATAAAATCCTTAAAGTTACAGAAACCTATCCGTTGGAAATTGTTCTTCGCGATACGGTTAAAAACTGTCCCATTGACGAAAGGAGCTGACGTTAATAATTTCCTCTCCTCATTTCAACGGATGAAATCCGTACATTGTACAGGTTCTTCTGTAAGATGTCTGTGTTTAAGATGTCTATATATGTCTATATTGTTAAGATGAAATCATTAACAGATTTCAGCCGGACGAATTATCCGGAATTCCCTGAAAATCGTCCTCGATTTAATTTCTGGCAATACCTCCGCCTTACATTTCTCGGCCCAATTACCCCGCAGGACTGGCTGCACGTGACGCGAGATACTTTGCAATTTCCTCGCAATGGCTTTGCTTAAGTTGGCTCGATAAGTATGCCGTGGCATCCTCCGTAACGATCTTCATAGTTGGAGCTTGCGCCAACCCGGCTGTCAACTTTGTTCCCAACTTCGAACCGTATCGTGGAGGCGCGCTCGCGTTGTTACCGGAGTCAAATTGGAAGCATCCCTTTCGCCGTGATAGCGAAATATTTTGCAAACCCCCCGAATCACCTGATCCCGTGGAAGGGGAACTCCCGTCGAGGTAATCGCGTTATGGAAGTACGAACGATCGGCCACATTGGCTCGTTTGCATTGCAAAACTCCTTCTCCACTTTCCATTGGTCGAAAGATAATTCCGAGATTCGGTCTCCTGGTTTTAACTAATCCCCCCGAGGATTATCCCTCACCGAGTACGTAACCCATTTCCAAATCGAGCATTACTTGAGGATTACCCGGCAACTCCTCCTCGTCGATTAATCCTGCGAGGAATATCGCGGTCCGAGATCGCGACATTACCCAACTTGGCCCCAAGTTCTTAAGGTGCCATTCTATGACACTTTCGTAACACCTTAAATGTTCAACGTTCTTTTACATGACTTTCTATCGATTTAATTATCAGTACGTGTCCACACTTATCCTCGAAATTTCGGTCGGTCCTTTCGAAGCAGAGACTCCCTTGGGGTAGGGCGAGGGGAAGTAACATAGAGCATAACGGAGCTGCTTCATTTGCATATTATGAGCCGCGGCGGGTAAATGCAGGGAAATGTTTTCATTGTCCTCGAGCTCGGATCACATAAAAATGCCCCGTAAAACCCGGCTGCGGATTTCAAAGGAGTCAACTAGAAGGGTAAATGCTAGAAGCTGGCGTTTCTCATTGACAGGCAATTTCGCGGCTGCGAGTGTTTCCGGAATCTATACTCGCCGCTCAAAGCCCGGGCTCATCTTTAATGGGATTTCCGGGTCGGAGGTGCACCTCCGGTTTCACTGATAAATTCATTTTTCTCTATCCAGGAGGTCCAAAAAACCGGGACGAAAAATTCCCTTTGTTCCCGCTTTAGTCGTAAAAAATGTAAATCGGGACGATACCTTGTTCAATATTTCGTTAAAAAAAGAAAATAGGAATTATCTATCGGTTATTATTTAATCACTCTCACGTGACGAGCGATGCTGTTCGTAAATCGACGAAAAATGCCCTTTGTTCTCATTTTAGTCGTAAAAAATGTAATTCGAGACAATAAGTTGTTTAATTTTTCGTTAAAAAAAAAAATAGGAATTATCTTTCGAGTATTATTTAATCACTCTCACGTGACGAGCGATGCTGTTCGTAAATCGACGAAAAATGCCCTTTGTTCTCATTTTAGTCGTAAAAAATGTAATTCGAGACAATAAGTTGTTTAATTTTTCGTTAAAAAAAAAAATAGGAATTATCTTTCGAGTATTATTTAATCACTCTCACGTGACGAGCGATGTAATATCGGTAATGGATGCATCGAGCGCGTGACGTCCTCCTAAAGTAGAAATGGTCCGCGTTGAGTTGGACATTTCGGGACGGCCGATGCATCGGCGACCGAAACTCCTGGAATTCGGAGTCCCCGAAACCCGGGGAAAATTTTAAAATACATTCGTCAGGACGCGCCATCGCCCGGAGACATTTTTCCCGTCCAGGGAAATTCTCCCGGTTGATTTAGCGCGTTTCGTCCGGGACGTCAGGTACATATTTTCGCGATTCCGCGTCCGGTGGCACTATACGTGGGATGCTTTACGAGGGTAATAACTTTCGAGAGATGAATTATATAACCGATCCCATCTTTTGCACGCCTTGGTTATTCACTTTTATGGGAAATTTAGCGGAGCCCGGAAAAGTCTGGCCCGTTCCCCGGAGAAGCTCGGAATATCTTGACGAAAAGTGGACGCGCATCGATCTTCGATTCTTCCAAATTTCCAGTTTAATTACAATTTTTCGCCCTTCTAGCCATACCGTTTGCAGCGGTAACTGTGAAACTCTTGTAAATAAATTGCAGCTATATCTACAACTTTTGGAGTTACACGTAGAAAATTGAAAAGTAAGATTTGAGATTTCTAATGATATAGACTTTAATTAAATTGTTCATTGTACATTTTTGGCAGAATGGACATAACTCTTGTCCTTATATTTACCCGCGATTATCACGGTTAACAGAATTGTAGAGGCGATATTGCGATTTTTCTACCTCGAGTCGTGGAACCTAATTTTCGATCATCGACCCCAGGGAACCCGAGACGTAACGGACGCTTTGCGATTTCCGGCAGCGGCACTCTCCGCGGAATGTTTTACGAGGGCAATAACTTCGGAGGGAATGACTTATTCCAATTTATGTCGCTGATGCGTTACAGCAGAAACACGCGCCTTAGCGAGGGTGCTAACGGGTTACTGCGGCGACTTTACGTCCCCCGTGATCGATCCCGGGAGCCGAGGCCGGGAATTAAAACCCCGCAGGACCCGACAAAGCCCGGCAATATGTCGAGATCCCTGGAACCGGAAGTGTCCAGGAGGGACGAGGTCGATATTGCCGGACCTCGTTACCGGAAACCAGCCCTCTCCGTTATCCAGGCCGCCTTCCGGTCCACCGGGCCGATTATTAATTTCATTCCCACGGCGAGGCCGACTAGTTAAGGGCGAGACTCACCCCTGGGACTTCCTTGTCGAGGATCCCCGAATCCTTAAACCGATTACCGAATCCCTAGGAGCAATCCCTTCCACGTTCCGAAGACAGAGTCGAGGTTCCCCGGAAAAAAATCATGACTTATCATTTATTAATCCTCAAGATTTATTATCGGAAAAATTGACGGATTTATCGCGAGCCTAGCCAAGGGAGGACCGCCTAAGGATGTTGAGATAGCTGGATATCGGATGGGGGAAGAAGGAAGAAAAGGGGAGGACTCTCTTGGGAATCCATTTCGAGTCGCCGTTACCAAACCGGAAACGCCGATCGCTTCTTTCGGGATTGGAGATCCCGGATCCCGCAGACGGGAGCAGATTTCAACCACTGTGCCCGAGTTGCCGGGGGGCTCGGTACAGTAGTCTTTAATTCGGTTCCAGGATCCGGGGGCCGAAGCAAAGCTGTCTTGGCTGCCGTCCCGGAGCTTGAGTTTGCAAACTGTACATCAGCCGAGGTGGAATCGCACGCCCTGACCTACCGCAATGCGACCGCCCCGGACCGGAGGAACGAAATTAACTCGTTAGGAGCGAAGAGGAAAGAAGGGAGGCTTCTGAGAATAATCGGCGCCGAATTAATTCACAGCTTAGCGATCTTAATTTCGGTCGATTCGGTGGACCATCGATGCGCCGCAGCAAAAATTCGAATCCGCGAATTTTCCCGAAAATCTTGTCGGAAATTCGGGACGAGTGAATAATCTCCCCCGACCGCGGACTTAACCTCTCCGGGTCTTGATGCGATAAGTTCTTAAGAGGATTCATAATTTTCTGCGGGCAAAGTTTTCGGCAAATTTATCACCGGCCATTCTTGGCTTCCCGGAGAGTTTTCCCTTTCCCGGCCCTTTTTTACCTTAAAATGGCTCGACTCGCCCGGAGGCGGATCGGGCGGTCCAGGTGCGACATCTTCCCTTGGATAATTGTCAGCCCTGTCGTTCATAATTTAACTTCTAATTTTTTGGGAAAATGTGCAGTTTTCCGGCACGGGGTGGGATTCGGCAACGCACTCGGAAGTCCTGCAAACTTGATGATTCTCCTTGAAAGCCCTGGACTGCGGCTCGACGCTTTTTTTTGGAAATCTTTCCTCCTGATATTATCGCCGATATTTCATCATTAATTACCCGTAAAATGCACCAGGGAAGCCGGAATGAAGGGCGTGCTCCTCTTTCCTTACTTCCGGCCCGACTGCAAGCTCCAATAAGATTAACGACGTTTTAAAAGCTCTCGAGGATCCGATTGAAAATCCTCCGCTCGATTTTCAGTCGAATTTCGGTCGATCGTCTGCCGTATTGAAAACCATATGATTTGAAGCGTTAAAATCCATGATTTCCTGAGGGAATAACCCCTCGGGTCATTTTCTTTTTTTTTTTTTCTTCGAGACCGGATCTCGGGACGTTAGGCTTCTCTGAATGCAATTTCTGCGCCGAAAGCGGAAGTGCACTTGACGCGTCCGAAACGGACGAAAAACTGGAAATCTGACGGATCTCGGTGAAACGGCACAAAAGCTACCAGGCTAGCAAAATAGACAATGCCGGGTCCGGGCATTGTGTCTCCTCGGAGTAATACAAATGGCGCTTTGCACGCTGGTGCTCTCGCGGAAAATCTGATGACGAGTTAGAATACCTGACACGCTGACATTAATAACGCTAAAACAAATCGAGCCCCCGCCGACTGTCCCCGAAATCTGAAAACGCGATCGAAAGGCGATTCGGATCGCGGCGTTTAATCATCTCCCTTTTTACTTCTCTCTCCCTCTCGCGGAAATGAAAAAAACACAACTTCGTATATACAGAGAAGTTTTTACGGCGGGGGGAAATTAAAACAACGCGGAGATACCTTCCGAGGTCTCGTTTATTTTCCGGGCCCGTTAATAAGGATCCGCTTTCGTTTAAAAGTCGAAATTAGAGAACCCTCCGGCCGCTGCCAAGGGAAACAAGTGGGAGGAAATAAGGCTGAATAATTAAAATTTAAAAAGTGCCGAGAGAAAGGAAAACGGAAGCCGCCCCTTTACTTGAGATTAATTGTGTACTCGAGGCTCTCGTGCCGATCCTTCATCGTGGAATAACTCCTTCCCTCCTGAGGGAGAGAAATGTATTCGTCTTAATTAGTGATATCAAAGATTCTCGATAATCGACTTTATAGTCCGGCGGAATTTATCCTCCGTCTCTTTTTTTATTTTTAGACCTTAGTCATTGGATTTGGAATTATTATTCGAAAATGTCGCCGACTCGTTGGACGTATCGGAGCCGTTCTCGAGAAAATGCTTTCTTTGATGGAGCGTGCCGCGCCGTCTAGAAACGAAGCTGATCAATAAGTAACAATAAGTTTTATCCGCCAGTGAGTCGCCACTTCCCATTGTGCCTCTCTGGCTTGAAAGGGTGAAATTTCCTCAATGAAAGTAGGAGAGAACGGGAGAGGAAAGAAGTATCCAATTTCCACCGCGAATTGCAAATAAGGCCACTCTCTCGCAAAATCCACCGCGGAGAGAAAAATCGACGACGGTTTATTGGATAATTTATGAATATATATTTTTGACATCGACCGCCGTCGGAAATGGAAAATTAAATTATATTCCCCGGCTTTGTTGGTCGCTCATCTCGCGAACGGGCGGGGCCGAGTAATGGTTAATTATGCAAACGCCGCTTTAGCGAGTTACGGTCATCAAAGAGATGATCAAATTCATAAGAGCTTACATCGCTTTCTAATTTCCCTCCGGCGATAAAACGACGGGAATAATGAAGAAAACCTCCCGCTTGATTACACTTTTTTGTGTTCAAATGTATTTATATAGAATAACCCTTTAATATCACTTTAAGGGACCGAAATAATGCCGCTCCCGTTTTCCCGGTATTTTTCCGAGCCCTCCATAAACGTTTTCGATCTCTCCCGCGTATGTAGTCCGATTGGCGCAATTTCCCCGAACATCGGGAATTTTATTTCCGAGGTTGGTTCATTGAAAATTTCGACCATATCGCCTCCATGGGGTGCGTGGTTTTGCAGTGATTCCGAAATTGCGATATTTCGGGACTCTCCAACTCGGCGTCGACGAGCGAGGCCAATCGCTTAACAACGATCAATCGGTTATCGATTATTGGCTGGGGGAGGGGGCAGGAAAGGAGACCGTTCGCGGCAAACTGCGGGAACGTATATTTTAGATGACAAATTGTGTCACTCGAGATTCGCTCCCCCGATTGGCCGCAGTTAGTCGCGCTCAAGTTTGGTGTCGTCGGGGCGACATCCTGTTGCGGAGCAAAAAAAAATCCCGGAAATGGGGCATCCTTTTTGCAGAGGCGCGTTGCTTCGGAATTTTATCACCGAGGGAATATCCTTTGTCGAGTGGAACTCCTACTCGGGCGTTTTTCGTCCCACCGAGGCGCCATCCATACAAAAATCATTTATTTCCGGACAAAGTAGGGCGAGCAGGGTAAACAGGACCCCGCGACTTCTCGAAATACATCCGGAGGCGCCATTTTGAATTTCCACGCATCTCCCTAAATAACCTAATTTTTATCCCTTATTTTCTTATTTCATCGCTCGCGACACGTTCAAACAGAAATTTGTAAAAACACATTTTACCTCCTTTCAGACACTTAAAGGAATAATTGAAAGAACAATGAATTAAGAAAATATTTCACTGGTTTAATGGATTTATTTCCTCAATGTACGTAATACAGATTTCCTTAGAGAGTGAGTGCGGTTATCTCCGTCATACCGCGGATTACCCGGTTCGTCCGAAACGCCGGAGGTTGCCGGTTCGCTTTTCCGCCGCGACAATGGATTATCGCGATATCTGATAACCCCTTTAAGAGCCGCTCGTCGCTTTTCGGCTAATGGAAACTAACTCGACGAGAAGCTTTCAGCGGTACGACGTTACGGGCCGCTCAACGGAACGTGCATACTTAACTTTGTTCCCCGAGGGCCGCGCCTTAAGTGGGTGCATGCGCTCGCACAAAGTGCGTTATTACCTCTCTCCCGGAAATCCGATTTCCCGATCCGCGGCGGGGAAGATGCGAAAGTCGAGGGGGAGCCTCCCTTAAAACAGGGGATGCGCGATTTAACCGGAATTTCGGAATTTCAGTGGCTCGGCGAGTCATCAGCTGTCAGCTACCGCCCTGCTGGGAAGCCCGGACGGGTCCCGACATCCCCTCGACGTGTACGAATTCGCCGAGGAGGATTACCGGCATCAAAACGGAAGTGGCAGTGGCCATAACCAATACGGCAGATCGGGATCTGGCCTGTGGGAGTGCCTCGTCGGGTGCAGACTCCGACTGGACCAGCAACTGGCTAGGAGAAGGGTGAGTCGCGTCGAATTTCCGGAACACACGAAATTCCGGAAAATTCACCACCTCCCATGCTCACCCTCGAATCATGATTTTCCCCATCAAGTGATTTTTAACGATAATTAAAATCCACCAGGGTGAAATTCACTTCTTTTTTGGCACCTGAGATCGATCTTCCATCCGATGGTGAAAGTAACGAACCCTTAAGGCGATGTGAAAGTTCCATCAAAGAGGTCTCGTTAATGAACATTTGAAACTTTACAATGTTAATTGGGAGGCGATGAGGAAGGTCTTGATACCCATGAAATTTCATATTTTATGAACAATTTTCAGAATGTGTATGAAGAAATTTTCTCCCAGTCTCGATAATTACGCTTTAAAGTTTGAAACTATTTGGTGCACCCACTTCGGAGAAAAGTTTGACGAACGAGACCTCTTTGACGGCACTTTGATATCACCTTAACGAACTCGCGATCACTCCGAGCCGAGAGCGAACGATTTCAGTCAAGTGCAAGAGGGAAACTTCATTCCGGGTAATTAATGGAGGCGACGGGTCAGTCCTTTCAGAGATCGACAAAGGGCTTGTATAATCAGCAGTCGGTCTCATTAAACCTTTACTCGGCAGCTAACGAGGCTGAGTTTACTTGCCAGATGGTTAACTTTTCCCTTGTTAAGTGGACGAAGACCTTCCCTGGTAAAGGGTGCGAGGGAGCATCGTCCTCGGTAGTAGTTCCTTGGCCAGAACTTTATCTTCAAACTGATAGAGGCATTTCCGGAGGTCGGCGGAAAATTGCGGAAAATTGTGGATTCCTTCCACGCGTTTTCATCCCCCGCAAAGGTGCTTTCAATGAGCTCGGCAGAGGGAAGAATAATATTCTTGTTCACGTCCGGCGCAGCCCGTTTCTCGGCGCCTCGGCTCTTCGTTAACTTTTTTCGAGGCCCCGAGTTGAAACTTCTTCGTTCCCTCCGCAGACGTCTCGTTCGATTTTCTTGCGCGGAGGAGAATGCCCGGCAGGATCCCGATTCCGCCCTCGAGGGGGTCGAAAGAGAGAATCCAACTGAGAGATAACATCGGGGGTGGGTTTCCTCGGCTCGGATTAAAAGTCCGCCACCGGTCGGTGTATAGCGATCGGCCAATAAACCTCCCCCTCGCGATGTTAATCAATTTTATCCGAGGGAGGTTCGACGGGTCGTCCCTTTAATAGTCCTGAACCTCTATCGGGAAATGGATCGTTTCACTGAGAAAGTGGCAGGAGGGAAAGAAAAGAAATCAGATGGATTTTGTCTGCACCCCGAGAGGTGTTAATGATTTAATACAATACCAGCCACCCCTTTCGCGGTAAGGAAATTCTTCGTCCTCCCGAGGGGCGACCCTTTCAGAGGGCGTCACATAGACTCGTTCCTCCCCGAGAAGAAAGGAAATAAAATTAAAGTAAAATCCTCCCTTGGTACATCCACCCCTCTGTGCCGCACAGTGGCGAAAATGACGAAAAAGCTGGTCGAAACTATTCGTCTGCCTGAATGTGAAATTCTTGTACTCTAATATTATATTTCGTCACTTTTATAAATATTCGAAATTGGAAAGAGACATTTCTTTAAAGAAAATCACCCTTATTCAAACTCGGTAAACTTGTCCTTATTAGAGACCGATGTCAGTAACTCGTACTAATGTCAAATTTTAGATCGACGTACATACTAATTAGGCTTCCGTCCTTTTTGCAATAAATGTCCGAATTACCCTTCTACCCTATCTGGCAATCGATAATACCTAAAAATAAAAATTTCATTTTTGAGGCTTTGGCCAGTTTTTTCGCTATTTTCGTCCCTGTGCGCCGACGCGAACAACCCTCTGAATAACTGTAGCCCAGAACGCGGAAGAATGTCGGAAATTTCCCGCAGAAATGCGAGCCGCGGGCGACAAAGGAGGATCAAAATGCCCCGTAGGGGGTGAGGGGGTGTGGAGGGTCGAAGAGCCCTCGCCATTGCTGGAGTTAGGGAAATCGCCATCGCGGGAGAAAGAGAGGAGTTACGTCGGTTACGTCGCCCTGGCTGCTTATTTCAATTCCCAGGCCACCCCTTTCAATTCCCGCAAAGCGATGGGCCAACTCGATTGCTTTGTCGCTGCCGCAAACGGTTTCAGACCAAAGACGACCCTGGACCACGCAGTTCCCCCAGGAGGTTGTCCCACAAACCGCCCCAGAAAATTAATCTTATCAATACCCTGAGAAAAAAAAATGTCACTGAACCTAAGAAATATCCATTTGAACAGTACCGAGAAAACATTTTGATAATTCAAAGAACAATTCATCGACCCGAATAAACTGGAATAAATTGAATGCAACATTTCTTCTGAATTATGACGATTTATTTGTGTAAAATAATTATTCCTTGAATTTAAAAAATACTTCTTCGCCTCGATGAATTTCTTTTCCCTTAGTGTACGATTACCGCAATTGTGCTTCTGCTGACCATTCTTCCTTTTATCCGTGCGGCTTTAGACTCAATTAAAATTTTCCGGGATTTTAATCCTTTTTTCCTCGGGCATTCTAATTCTTTTTTCAGGCGTCGATAAAGTGTCCCTGGAAACTCCCGAGACGGGAAATTCTGGCCTCTCTCTTAATGGCGGAATTTCTAGTGCCATGTCGGATCGATCGGGACTCATTTGCATGATTGGTCGTGGAAAAATGCGCCGTGTTTCGGGAGGGTGTGGGGAGATCCGGCTCGTTACTTATTAATCCCGGGCAATGTTAAAGAGTCAATCTCGCAAAAAGAGACCACCCTGACGTCAGACATCACTCCCCGGGCCAGGATTCTCTTTCATCCCTCGTGCCCTTCGGTGTTCCACCCTCGGGTCCTTGGATGTAACGCGAAATTAGGGCGCCTCTGCGGACTCGTCCGGCTTTTTTGCAGTCTCGGTGTACCGTCTTGTAGCAGAGGCAAAAAGGGTGTACAGCCCTCGAGGTTCTTCCCGAAGGGGTCGCAGATCGATGGCGGACTTAAGCAACCCCTAATCGGACCTTCCTTACGTATTCTCTCAATTACTCGGATTAATTACTTAGTTCAAAACGAGGGGTCGAGGGTCCATTCGCTCGGAAATCAGTGAAAATGATTTCCTTCCTTAATCGCCGATTGCCTTTGACTTGATCCGCCGAGAAAAAAAAATTGATTGAACGAAAGAAATATTTTGTTAATTCATAGTATAATTATTTGACTGAAATAAATTCCCACAATTGATACAATGCGATTTGACACACTCGAAAAATGGCGACTTGTGAACCCACAACGTTGACTCGCCACGTATTTTGTCGAGGGAATCATTTAGGCGTCACCCCTGGGAATTGATTTTCGCTCAAGTTATCCCCGAGATCTACCGCGTCATCCCCGTGGTAACCCCGGAAAGGCTTGCAGCCCCGATAAGTACCTCTTCTTCAAGGTTATCGATAGATAAGTTAGGAGAAGGTTGGCCGGAGGTGTCGGTCGAGGAGGAGGCCAGACGGAGAGCAATTTCAGGCTCCGATAGACACCTTTTCGCCCCCGAGAGTGGAAACCTCCCTCGATAAGACGCTCGTCTCCTTTTCCACCCTTATTTCCACTTCGCTGGCATTGTACTTGAGCCGATACACCCTTCGGTCCCCTTTTCGGAATATTTTCGCCCGAGAGGGTGACTTTCTTCCCGCAGCTCCCTTATCGAACCCGATAAGGGCGAAGTCATGCTCGCTCAAGTTCTCTTACCCCTCGACCTCGAAACTTGAAAATCATCGTATCGAACTTTAAGGTGACATATTTTATCAACGTCAATTAAATTTCTCGACGCCTTTCATATCACCTTAATTCGGAAAATCCCGAGTCGAGGTCGCTCGGACGATTCAGGGGTGGCGGCTAAGCTGCAACCCTTCATGGCTAACCTATCGATCGTCGACTTTGCGTCTCGTTTTCCCGAGTTCTCAGGGCACGTAATGCGCGTTATTTATGCCTTGTCGCGCGGTATAATTTACCCGGGAATAAAGTTCAAGGCCGAATCGATACGGCCTTACCCTGGCACCCTTAGATAACGCCTTAAGGTGCGCCTCAGGGTTGATCTCGTATGCGGACCATGACACCGTTTTAGCCGCGGCATCGCTGAAAATTTGCATGGCATTCGCCGACCTCGAATCCGGACTGAAATTATTTTTCTTATTTGCATGAGGACATGCTTGAGCTAGAAAAAAATAGGTGCACCCTCGTTACCGGAGTTGTAAGTGAATTTAGAATTTTTCTTCATTTTGATTTCAGGTTAAACGTCAATAATTAACGCTTCCTCTTCTTAAGGTGATATGAAAGACACCGAGGAATTAATCGAAATTTATTTCAGACAAATAATTATTCTTCGGTGCGTTGAATTTTTTTTCTCGGTGTAGGCTGACCCTTTCGTTACACCCCTTAACGTGCGTATGCATACCATCGCAATTTCAATTGCGCGATATCACGGTTTCATCACTGAGCGATCTCGCGTCTCGTATTCCGGACACGTTTGCGCGGTTATAGCAACTGTCGCGCGGTAAATGGAATCGGTAACCCCGAAGTTGCTCCGTAAAATCAGTGATTAGGTAAACGGGACACAGTTTACGGGGTCCCGAGTACGTAGGACATGCACCGGGTCGGTAAATTGAGGGGATGCAAAGTTGGTAACTACCGGTGCGTATCGTTGCGCATTGGGCCATTTCGATCCGTGTTTCCAGCCGAAGTGCGAGAATAACTAATACCTGCCCTTATCGGGAAATATATTCGGAATGTCAATATAATATGATATAGCAATTTGACGCGCAGATAAGGACCGCTCTTCGGAGGGGTCGAAGTATTCTGATTTATCCCCGGAATTTAACGGCACCCTCTCGGGTGTCGCGCGTGTCGCCGGCTCGCAAAACCATGAATATGCTAATTGTTGCGACAATCCGTTCCAGGTGGAGCAGGGTCTGAAGTTGTATCGCGCTCACAAGCAGCAGGCCGCCGTGCGAAAATGGAGGGGTGCCCTGAAGAGCATCAGACAACGAGATGACAAGTTCACTCTGCTGGGGTACCTCTACCAGGCGTACATGGACTGGGGAAAGTACAGGTAACAGGTCCTCTTATCGAGACCCGTCGTGGTACTCCCCAGCAAACTGAGCGAATTTTTATCACTCTTCGTTTACGGCGTTCACCACCAAAATAGGGACGATGACTTCGACCGCCAGATAACAATTTGTTTGTGGCTATTTTCAAAATTTATACTAAAAAAAATTAAATTCTCTCACATTAACACGCGTTAGCATTTCGTCTTTAAAATTCGACCGGTTGAAAAGTACGTTCTCGATCGTAGACCCCGTGGGGCACTGCAACTCGTGGAGGTGGTGAACGCCCTTAATTATTTCCAAACAATTAGCGGCCTCGCGGAAATCTCGGCCAAACGCGGAAGATTAAAGGGAAGGTTCTTTTCCCACGTTTTTCCCGACATAAAATCCCGGGAGTTCTGGCGGGGCCGCAGATACCGGGATGTCTATCGGCAAATACCGGGTATGACCTAGTGAACTCTTGCGGCGCATACGCCGTACATGCTCCCGACATGTCGTTAAACCTCCCTCACCGGTTGATCTCTAATCGACAGGCGGACGGCGGAAACAAAGCGACGACTTCCCTTCCACTAGCGCGACGGCTCTCAACGTCGAATAACTCCTAAATGGACGAAATATTGGGAGGGTGAAATTCCCCGCGATCTCTTGCAGGCGGAGTGAGAAACTGCATTAAGTTAATGGGGCGCTACAAAGCGGGGAGGGTAACTCGAGGAGGGAATTTTCTAAGCGAATTTTCCCGCCGATCTACGGTCTCGCCGCAGGTTCCCTCTAAGATCGGCTTCACGGAGCCAATGTCGATAGAATCGAGATTAGGCTCCGTGGTGGCCGGAAGTTTAGGGCCACCGGATTATCGGCCGCGTTTATCCGACTCCTGGGACCGGAAGTGCCGGGGGCGAGACACCCCTCAGGAGACCCTCGATTTCCGTCAGACGGCCTTGAAATTCATTTAGATAAGACGGCCGAACTTCTGGGGACCTCGGGTGCATCTGCGAACTTTGTAATATCTAATTCAATGGCACGATAAGAAGTAAGGGAGTATCATATATATATACGTACCAAAAAGTCAAAATATGGATAAAATTTTTCTACAAACGGGGTGCACCAAATCATTTGACACCCTGACACGTGATTATGGAGGCCCTAATAAAGGTCTTGGAACTCATGAAATTTCATTCTTCGAAATAAGATTTCTTTTTTCACCCTCGGCCGGGATGAATAGATTTTCTTTTTCGGAAAAGTGAAATTTCCCGAGTTTCAAGACTTCCGTTAGGACACCCGTCGCGTATTGAGGTGTCAAATTATTCGGTGGATCCAGTTTGTGGAAAGGTTTTATATATATTTTGACTTTTTGGTGCATATATGAGACTTTCATAACGCCTTAAGAGTTTCAGAACTCGGAGACGCGCATCCTTTGGCATTACTCGGCCCTTTGGTTCACATCGGGGAGAGAGAGACGGAACTCCCGAGGGTAGGAAAGCACCCCAGAAGTGCGCCGGAATCCTTGACACGATAACTGCCTTTTCGGCCGAGGACGTAAATATTCACGGGGTCGCTGGTTAAATTTTCACGTGACAGCCCCCCTCCACCCTCCGTGGCTTATAAATATTCCGGGCGTTACTTCAAACCTCCCCCGCCGAGGTCGTTCTGCCCTTCGCGGGGGGCAAGACGGAGACGTCCGAGTTTCCGTTTTCCATCGATCGGGAAAAATTTACATGGCGCCATCGGGACTAGGTCGATGGGGAGGTAGATTCGGAAAGAATTAACAACCCCGAAGACCACCCCGGATGCTGCAGCCCTTTGAGACCTTTTAAACATCATCCGCGAAGGAGAGACTTACAGAAATTGAAAAAGGGGCGCAACTCTCCCGGCCAAGTTCCGGGACTTGCTCCTCCTTTTTCCTTTTTTTCAGAAAATAGACGAGAGGGAAGCCTTATTCCGGCAGAAAAGATTAAAATGGGGATCTACCGGTAGGGGGGCCGAGTCGTCACATTCTCGCAGCTCGCGCGACCGAAAGCGTTTTTCTGGAGGGCCTGTGACTGCTTTACGGCGCTGCACCCCCCTAAAGGTCCTCTCCATAATTAGCCACTGTAAAGCGAGAGCGGCATTTACTTTTTGCATCCCTTTACGTAACGAGATTTGCTTTGAACGAGCGCCGAGCCGCCATGGGAGTCGGCGCGTTTGCGCAACCCCTTCGCGCCGCGGATGAGACGTTAAGGTGACGTGAAAGGGTGATTATTTGAAAATAATTTCCAAACGTGACGTTTTGAAAATTCCAGGATATTCAGAAATTATTCGGGGAAGCGAGGATATTTTTCAGGGGGTAGAAGAGGAGGGGAGGTCTTTGGAACGGCCTCGTTTCTTATAGACGTTTCGATTCAACCCCCAAGGCGATCGAATGGGGTGACTCCGGGATATGTCCCGTCCCCCATAATCCGATCCTCCATCAGGAGGAAAGGTCCTTGTACCTTCAGGGCTCTGGAAAAGTTTCAATTACCGAACGATAATAGGAAAATGAGGCTGCCCGCGCGTAATCCGTAGGTGCGCGCGAAAAGCTCTCTGCGAACGAAATTACTTTACGAGAGGGTAATGGAGTTAGCGCGGAATTTTATCCGCGTTAATGACTACCCGAAATTATTACCCCCCTCTGGGGTGACCTAACCCTTCCTCGCTCCGATCCGGAGGGTTAAACGCTTCTTAAATTACTTTCTCGGGGCGTTAACGTTGCCTTGATCTTCCGCCATTAAATTGAAAAATGGCCGAAAAGGCCGCGCGAATTATGCGCCATCTCGTGAATAACCCTTAAAACGAGGGATGAATATTTTACGGGGATTTCGGCATTCCCGGGGTGACACTCGGAGGGGCTGCTCGTAAAATTAAGGGCACGTCCCGCCGAGTTGTTACCCCGTTCCTCCCTTCTCCAGGATCGGTTTACCACCCTCTGGAGAAGGGTAAGCGCCACCTTCGTGCCGACAAGAAGGCAAACATCGAGTTCATTAAACCGCGAGGCGATACGGGGCATAGAAAATTCATTCCGGTTTATCGCGGCCTCCGGAAGAGCCGGAGTTAACGCGAGGGCTTTATCTCCGTTCTCGTAATAACAAGCGGAATTTTATGCAGATTCGTCCCCTCGAGGCCGAGCTGGAAACGGAGACCTTCGAGGAACGCCACGAAGACCTCGGGAATAGTTGGCTCCGCTCACAATTTGCGGAAAAATTTCTACATTTAAGACAATTTTTTATGGAGACGCGTTCACATGTAAAACTGCTAGGATGGTGAAGAATTCATCAATCAGAGAAATTCCTATCGCCATGTATCCGTTCTCTCGAATAATACAGGGCAACAATTGTAAACGTTGACGTAGACTTCCAAAAAATGCATAGTCTGTTCGCGCACCCCGAATCATGGGGAATCGATGAGAACTAAATAGCCGAGTGCAGGAACGCAGGTGCATCGGATGCACCCCCAATTGTCGCGTCGGGGGTAACTGGTATTTACTCGGTGGACGTGGCCGAACGAAGCACCCTCTATCTGGCGGAGTCACCCTTTGTATACTTGCAGAGTCCATTTCCTCTTGGATTTATGCGTGATAAAAATGACCGAGGTAGAATGCAGGGGGAGATGTGCATTTTCCAGGGTGCACCCTCGTTACCGGAGTGGTCGCGGTCTCTCATTAAATCCTAGAGATGCCGGGGTGTCTAGGCATCGATTCCGCGGGATATATTCCTCGAAGAGGGCGTAGTTAGTATTCCGGGGGAGCAGTGGATGCACCGGCACTCCGAGTCTCTTCCCTGAAATTGCAGCGCGGTCTTAAAAGCATCGAACGACCCATTTCGTTCGTCGGTAACGTTTCCCTTGTTGAGTCCGTCATGAGGACGACGTCTCCGCATTCCAAACATCCTTCGGGTTTCCGGCTTTTCCCTCGACCCCCGTTTTTCCCGGCTCCTCTGGCCGCCCTGTCAGCTGCAATTTGCACTCGATGCAGGGGTAACGATCGCCCCAGCGATGACGAAGACGCCGTCGACGACGCTCCTCTCGGTGGGACAACGGATGTCCTACCGGTCGTCCACGGATTAAGGACTCTCGACTCGAGTCAAGGGTTCTTTCCAGACTCTCCTTGCCTCCCCGTTACTGGCGGCTTTCACTCGAGGCGACACTTTCTTCCCCACTTTCCTCCACGAGGAAAATCTCGGCGAGGTTCGAGGTTCCTTGCGAAATTGAAAATATCCGGAAGAAAATTAAGGTGATATGAAAGGGTCCGCCTAAATATATATTGAGATATCAAATAGTCGATATAAACGTTGGAAACGTGGTGCGCCACTTGAATATCAAAAATAGTCTTATCATCAAGAAGGATATAGATGGATTATGTTTAATCGACGTCGATTGAATTTCTTGGCGCCTTTCATATCACCTTAAGAGAGTCTAAAAACGTGGGAAATGCCGAGTGGTAACGGGTCCAGAAAGGGAGGATTTCGGAAACTGGAAATAGCAAGCAGGGGCGAGCGATAACGAGGGGTGGATACGCGAACCGGATATCCGGAAGCGGGGCGGTACAAGAGAGCCGGTGTTCACGATATGTCGGAATTAATTGCGATTATCCGCGCCCCGGGACGGTTTTTGGATCGATCGGTCTCCCCCAGTGGGCGTTTTTCCATTATTTTTCCCCTCTTTTTCTTTCAGCGACAGCATAGACTTCGGACATCGGCAGCTCAGCATCTCCGAGGAGCTGGACTCCCCCAACATGAGAGCCGAGGCGTATCTGAACCTGGCCAGGGCTCACGAAAGACTCGGAGCTTTGGACAGGGCTCTTGCCTACGCCAGGCACAGGTGAGCTAAATTTTCAAAGTATGTCCAATTGTTTCCATTAATCGAGTCCATATTTTTGTAATGGATCCCCCGTCGCCGTCGCAGCCTCTACAACGAGTGCGACCAGTGCGCCACCGCGGGATTGGTTCACTTAACGGTGGGCAGAGTCCACTTGGAGCTCGCCGGATTTTGCAAAGCTTTGGAAGCGTTTCAAAGGGCGCACAAAATCGCCCACTCCATTCAAGACCTCTCACTGGAATTACAGGTAACAGCCCGGGTAGCATCCGGAGCCCACAATCGGAGGAGTCGCGGTAAAATCGGTTTACGAGTTTAAGGTGATACGGAAGTGACTGCTGAGAGGTCATTCGGGAAGGTATCACCGAATTTCTCTGAAATTTTATCACACGAATAAGGAGGCCAAACCGTAGGCCCTTCCCCTCGCAAAATGTCATTTTTTATAAAAAATCTTAAAAGCAGCTGTAATGAAATTTTCTTAAACTTGAAATTTCATGGGTGCCAGGACCTTCCTTATAGCCTTCATATTCACGTTGTAAAGTTTCAAACGATTCGGTGCACTCTGAGAAAAGTTTCATGGAGGATTGACCCTTCGGATGGCACTTTCACATCCCCTTAATGGGTTTAAAAAGTGCTCTCCGTTCGTTCAGGTGTACGTGGGTCTGTCCGAGCTGTTCTGCAGGCTCCAGGACGCGGATAAGAGTGCCAGGTACGCAGCCAGGGCGTACGATTTATCTCGAAGTCTCCAGCTGGGCGACCTGAACTCTCGGCACCATCGGGCGGCTCTTCTGCAAATGGCGTCCGCCCTTAGGAAAAAAGGGGAGCTGGGCGACGCCCGAGACTACTGCTTGGTAAACCACTCTTCGGCATCCTCCCGTGGACGCGATCGATTCGCCAGTTCTGCCCCTTTTCCAGGAGGCGACCCGCCTGTCGCTGCTTTCCGGGGACCAGGCGAGCTACGCCAGGAGCATCCGCATCATGGGCGACATCTACCGAAAGAAGTCCGACATAAACGTGAGTCGGGCCGCGGAATTATAGAAATCCCGGGGCACCCTCGTCCCCAAAGTCCGGAGGGATCGATCGATCCCCATCTCCTGGAAGCGCTCTGTTCCCGACATTCCCGTCGCGTTCCTTTGTGCCGGCACTTGCCACTCTTTCGGCCGCGTTCCACATTTCGCCCCGTCGACCCAATTTCTCCCGATCGGCGGGTTCGGCCAAGCTGGACCAGGTCCAGTTCCCGGATCGTCCCTCTAATCGGCAGAAAGGGCCCTCGGCCCTTTGCCCGAATTCCTGACCTACCCCACATCGACCTCCGTGTACGCCTAGCCGCGCATTCCTCGACTTAGCTGCGAAAACCGCATAGCGTCCGAAAAACCCGGACGCTATGCGGAAGGACTCGCTTTAAGGTAATATCAAAGGCGCCGAGAAATTTAATCGACGTCGATTAAATCAAATTCATCCGTATTCTTATCGATGGGAACGCCATTTCGGATGTCCAAACGCTCGAAGCGTATCTTCTCGTACTGCGAAGAAAATTTTTTACTGGAATCGCCATTTTGGGTACTTAACTCCTCGAAGCGTATCTTCTCGTATCGCGTACCGCGAAGAAAACCGACAAGACGTAGAGGGAGAAGTTTGCAATTTCCGGGCCGGGGCGCGACAATATCGCGCGGCGATATCGGGCCGAGATGAAGTTTGCCGTATTGCAGAAGGCGTTCCGGCAGTACGAAAGCGCGATGGGATCGGCAGCTGCGACCGGAGACCGTCTCTGCCAGATGGAGGCGATGGACGGCGCGGCGAGGTGCCTGGAGGCCCTGAGGCTGCAGCACAAGATCTGCAACTGCAGGCCTCTGGAGTTCAACACGAGATTGCTGGAGGTGGCCGGGTCGGTGGGCGCGAAGGTAACGAAATTCCACCCCCAAAGAAACGGAATCGAGCGCTTCCCTATCGACCTTTGACCCCCTCGAGGGTGGAGGATTCGGGAATCGCTCGATCGAGTCCTTGGGAAATATCCCTCGACACCTGAAATCCTTACCGGATCTCGGCACGAAGCCGGAAGGGTCGTGCTTCGTAAACTTCTCGGGCGAGCATCGATTCTGGGTTCTTCGAGGTCAAAGCGTCTTCAATAGCGAATCGCTGAAAGAGTTCACAGTCCTAACAATTCCACGTGCGGGAACAAGCGTGAACACTTGAAAATGGGCCAGGATAATTTCGCTCCAGAATTTCGTTATATCGAGAACAAAAGGACGATTACTACCAAAATTCCTCTGAATAGTGACAGGAAATTTTTTTTTGCTTTCGCAGGAAATTCATTCGCTAATTTAGCAAGTACTTTTTTTTTTTAAGAAACCTCCCCGGTGGTTACATACATCAATTGAGAATAAATGCAAATATTTTTCTCGTTGCTAGGATTATTCCTGCAGGAAGAGCGAAAGTTTATCGGCAATGCCGTCCTTTACTAAAAGCGCAAAAGTCTTTTTTTACCGTATGGGATCGAACGGGGTGGGGAACGCGGGGACGTCTTCTGGGTTGAAATGCCGACCTCGACGGATGCAAGGCCTCGGAGGAGCTCCAAGACGAGGAGGTGCACGCCTTGGCGATAAATCCGCGCGGAATCCGAAGTAATGTCGGGGCATCAAAAACCGCACCGCGGGCGAAACAGGATCGATCCGCCTGCTCCGAAGCACGGCTCGTAATTCAGCGTTATCCTCAGCTTCTAGTGAGGACGGTAAGGTCCAGGCTGTCGAGAATTTACGGATCCTTGGGCGACGAGGAGCAGCGAGGACATCACGAGAGGCTGGCTGCCGCCATGGAGGAAGATTTGGAGTTACGATGCGGAGGATGCGGAGAGTCCTTCGGCCTGGAGACGGACTCCCTGGAGGCGCTGCCCTGTTCCCACATATTGCACGCCAGGTAAATCCCCCTGGAAGCTCTCAGGAGAACTCTCGTGACCCTCGGCAATTGACGTTTGATCAGGGAGAAAAATGCGAGCCCTAAAGTTACAGAAGCCTATCCATTAGAAATCCTTCACGGTAACGGATACTCATCCGTAACCCTCCTAAATACTTATATGTAATTCTTAGTTATAGTTTAACAGGTGTACCCTATTTTTCTCCGTGCAGGTGCGCCTATGACATCCTGAAGAGGCGCGACAAGAAGAAGAAGCGCCTCTGCCCGGACTGCCACAAGTCGGTCAGCTCGAGACTCTATCTCCACTGCGAGGATCCTCACGGGATGAACACGCTGAACCACAGTTCCTTGAGCCTGGCATCCTTGAGGGCCAGCAGCCTGGCCACCCTGGAAGATTGCCACGCTACCAGTAGCGTGTAACGCCGTAGAGGTCGACCTGGTCGGACGAAGAGGAGATGAGATTTTCCCCGGACCTGAGTTAGGCAGATTGGCGAGGGGTTCGCTCGACTTACGGAGAAACGTTCCTGGGCCGAATGACCCCGATCGAATTCCAGGATCGTCTCGTTTTCACCGAGAAGGATCGATTTCTGGACCTGCACGGCCTCTACCAGGAGCTTAGGGGTCGGTTTTCGAAGAGAGGACGTTGACGGGGACACTCCTCCACCAGGAAGATCGGGGTCGGTTTTCGACTAGACGATGACTTTCGCCATTTTTTTAGGGAACGATCCCGTGGAGCTGGTCCTTGGCTCTTCTTCGGGAGTCTCTTCGACTAGTGCGGTCAATCCTGGAACGTACATCGAGCCAAATGGAGGAGAACGTCGCGTCCACCTTCGGATTCCTGGATGCTGGATGCTCCCGTCATCCTAGACTCCCGGGTGTCTGTCGGACTCTTCAGATATCGCGGAATGCCAGGAATGTCGGCAGCACGGTGCCTCTTATCGGGCTCTGCTCCTTTTATCGGAGTTTCTTTCGGTACCTCGGTGCTTCCTCGAGCGAACGGGAATGTCTCCGCGAACGGGAGACGCGATGGACGCATCTCGAGAGTGCATCTCAGGCTCGTAGAGTAGACCTCGGATCTGTCCCACGTCCAAATTGGACGTGCGACTCGAATCGAGCCCTGCAAGTCAGGGCCCGGTAAGTCTGCCAAGTATTAAAGTGCCAATAATTGCAAGAAGCAAAAATGAGAGAACGATTCTGCTCGCCCTAAAGGGAATCCACTCGGTAGGTCGGAAGAGAAGAGCGACGTGCAGGAAAATTCCCACAAATGTTAGCGATCGTACCCTGGGGAAGGACTTGTGCCAGGAAAGAAGCGATTGGCCGGTCCTTCCTAAGTGCTTCTGGAGATCGATTCCGTGCAGATTCATCTGGACTTCGATTTTGGGCTCTTGAAGGCTCTTAAGGCTCTCAAAGTGGAAGATCGATAGTGCAGCGGACGGTCGATCGATCGCTGCGGTCGGACGTTTTTCATTTTCTGGAATTTCTTTGCGGGGAAAATTCTGATCGTGGGCCAAGTCGCGCCGTAGAGACGAAGTCATTTTCTTTTGAGGAAGGAGGTTTATTAGGTGCTCAGGATTTTTAGTACAAGGCGATACGCCTTTATAACTGCTTCGGCGTCTCTTCGTTTTATGTGACGAGCCGAGTTTACAACGAAGGTTTATTTTCTCGTTAGTGTCTTCCGGTTTAACTTCCGGCCCCGCGATATTAAATTAATTTTTCCTCCTTGCTCGAAGCGAGCCCCGCGAAAGTGCCAAATTAAGGTCGAAAGCTCGAGTAAACGCTCAATCAAGGTACTCTCTAGGGTAAAAAACGAAGGAATCCACCGATCTCCGTAGAGTGACCTTCCGAGAACAGAGTCTCCTTATTTTGCACCTAAGCCCCCGTAATTCGTTAAGCTAAATTAATCTAGTCCTTAGAAGTGTCGTTCGATAATTTCTTTCCAGGCGGCGCGCATCCCTGCAAGTGTCTATTTTTTTTTTAAGGGGGACCGCCGCGGGCTTTCCGATTTAATTCGATTATAGATAACGTAATCTTAACACCGGGTGCCCGTCTTCGCAGACGTCGGATGGGGTCCTCTTCGAAATGGAATCTCTCTAGATGTCCGCCCTCGATTTCGTGAACCGAGCTTGACAACCCTTTCTTCGGCCACAGGACGTTTCCGAAGTCGGGCACATAGCCTCTAATCATGTACATTGCGAGGTGTAAAGGTTAATCATAGTCGTTCGTCCTCAGAATCGAGGCGAAAGCGTAGAAAAGTTCTAAAAGCGCCCCGGATGCGCAGAGAAGAATATTTTTCAAATGTTGGAACTCCTCGGCGACGTCCTTCCCGCCACGAAAAGCGCCCTCGATGTCGTCGGGGGGTGACAATTCTAGGGAGGAGTTCGAAGTTCCGGAAACCCTATTTTGTCGACGGAATCGAGTTGGCTATACGCGGCTAAAGTTCGGCGGATCCTCTTATTCTTTTCTTTAAATTTATTTCGAAATATTTATCTTCATCCGCGCTAAATAAGGCCACTCGTTTGGCGATGCACGGGGAAAATAAAATCTGTTTAACTTTCGGAATAATCAATTCCCAATGGATAGGCTTTTGTAACTTTAAGGTGATATGAAAGTGACATCGGAGAGGTACATCGTTCGTGAAAGTATTCCTCGAATTGGGTTTACCAATTTATTTCAAATCTTACCACATGAATAAAGAGATCCTAAGGTACATCCTAAAGCTCACGAAATTTCATTTTTATAAAAAATTTTCGAAAATATCCATAAAGAAATTTTTTTTTTTTTTTTTTTTGGGAATGGAAGGATTCCGAACTTTAGCCACGTTAGCTCTTCACGGCCGTTCGTTGCGTTGTATATCCACGTTAGCAAGTGTAGGTACCGAGCTAAAAATCGAGGATGACAGAGGCGATAAAGAAAGAAAACAAAAAAAATCCGCTCGGGAGAAATCAAAATGTCTTAAGGGTCTGGTGTTCTAGCGAAATCCGTAGTTTTCGATCAGTGTTCACTTGGAGTATTACTATGGCGGGATGGCGACCATTGTTGCGCGAAAAGGGCAGGGTTTTATTGGGTAGTAAATGTCTTGACAAGACATCCGGATTGAATTAACATTTACGAGCTCTGCTCGCATTACCGACGCCATGATCGTCCACGTGGCGAGGGTAATTTTCCCCTTACAGAGGAAGTAAATAAAAAAAAGAAAATAACGCAGGCGACGTTTGATATCCACTTATAAAATATGTACACTGCCGTAGACAATTATCAGTTTCCCAACTTCACTGAGCGATTCTAAATTTCGCCCCTCGAAATAAAAAGAAGATACGATAAATCAGGTGATAAACGCGAATCGCGAGGTCCCAGGTGGAGGCGCACGATTTTGTAAATTAAGTCAACTTGTTCCGACAATTGACAATTCCATGCAACGATTAGGGATTACAAGGGATTAAAGAATGGTCGGAAATCGTAGACTGCGAGGGCAAAAGTGTAGGGAGATTTTTTTCTTTTTTTCCTTATTCTTCTTTATAAGAAACGGTTCGCCGAGGATGGGAAATCGCAACGATTATTGTTCAGATTGTTAACGGTGATAAGAGGATGGATTCCCGCCGCACTAGTAGGTTCTATTGTTAAAGCGCACTAAAACTTGTGACTAAATAGAGTTTACGAAGAGGATGGATAACGATCCAATTTAACGAACAAACTATTCACCTGTCTGTACACATCGTTGTTGTGAGCAGGATAATCGTAAATCGAATAAAACGATAAGGCATCTCATTGTACTCGTTGTAAGCCCGGAAACTAGTCAAGTACCTCAGACATGGATTAACTTTGAGAATAAATCTAAACGAATGTTTTACGAACACCCTTGTCACATTTTTTTGACATCCCCCGATGTGCCTATAGAAACAAAAATCGAATATCCCCTTCGTCTCCAAATACGAATCTTGATTTTCGAAAACCTGGAGAGGTTCCTTTTATCCGGATTTCATTTAAATTCTTAAAAATAAGATTTTGTTTATTTATGATCTTGTGATCCAGATACTGCCATCTGGGTACCTCCGAACTGCACCAGCAATCGCGATGTACCGAGAGATGAGGTGCCCTTATCGGTCGAGATACGTATCGATTGTTATCAACGTGGAATTTGATATTGCCGTGGATTGCTAAAAAAAAATCGTCGAATTATTTGGCAGTCGCGTGAAAAATTCTTGGACGAAGAGAACTTTACCATGTAATATAGAAATAAGGGAAAGTGTATTATGAATGTTATTTTTTTTTGTTATCGATTAGATAGACATTGTTAGTCCCTCAGCTGCAAGATGGCACAGGAGGCATCTTCCGCGTAAATTAGTGGCACCATCTAGCAGCCAAAGTGTCAACTGACGATTTAAATTTCTTTAGAATGCAGACTGGACGTCATTGTTCTCCATGAGTTTCCGCGAGGGCATTAAAAAATAATTTGTCGAGATAAAATGCAGATTGTCGGACAATGCGTTACGCAAAGCAAAGGCGATCCAATTTTCTCTTGGTTCTGCTCGCGCATACTAGCAGCACATTTATCTGTTTAAAAAATAATGTATTTCCAAGCAAATGCGATTCAGAGTGCATCGTTACGTCGAGGCCAATGTTAAAACCGGAACAATTGTGTCGAGAAGTTGCGTACGCTTTTTCTCGTGGCAAAAGTCGCAGCCAACTCGACTCAGTTTACCTGACAAGAGTCGATTTATCGAGTTTAATATCGCTTTACACAAACGTCACTATTTTTATCGGTTTTTATTGTAATAACTACGGGATGAGTATACGCGTAAAAAGAAACATTTAAGTACCGTTCAAGTGCAGTGGAAAATAATTTATTGAAACGGTAGAGTCGTAACTGAACCGAAATTTTAATGTCGCTGAAAGACCCGGGTGAAAAATATATTTAATGTAAGACATGTAACGCAATGTAAGTGTAATTTGTAAAGTGAGCTGGCGATACTTTAAATACCCTAGAAGCGCAAAATATATATATATTGCAAAAGATTTATTTTAGAGTATTACTTTCATATTTATGTAATATTATCGAAGATTACAAGAAAATATTGATAACATATACTCTGTGCTACTAGGGTACAAGTTGCAAATGTTATGTGGGAAATGAGTACGTTATTGATATTTGAAATACGGTCTGCAGGTGGGAATGACTTGCGATGACATTTCGGGTAATTGCTGAATATTGCTGAAACGACTGGCACATTTCCCGTAATTTCAGGGCGAGCCGAAATGCGACATATTTCACTCAAGTGCAGAATGCTCGGCAAATAGAGGGAAGCATCGGTAATGACTGAGCAACAAAAGGCGACCGGTCGAAGAATCATCGTGCAAATATTCTCCGAAGAAAAATGTGCTCGGGCCCGAAAGAGAACATAAGTACGCAGACGACAGCAATTAAGTCTCTTCCTTTGCTGCTTCCTGATCATTATAAATCCTGCGGCGTGACTTACAATTCATTTGCGGCATTGTGTCAGTCTTTCATAAGCCAACGTGTCCACCTGACAAGAATGGGCCACTCGTCATGCGTTGAATCTTCTTCCGGAAGAAAATATCAACCCCTCGTGGGTTCACCTTCTCAGTTTTTTCGCAAAGTTCCTCTAGGGAGGTCCTCCTTTTACCGCGAAACTACGCAAAGGTGGTCAAAAATCTAACAGCTGTTTCTCTATTCACGTTTGATTTTCAATCAAATTTACCCTTTGGCTCCTAAGAGCGTCTAAAGGCGCCCGACGTTTGGTCGAATATCGCCTGCACGGTCAGACGACTTTCGCCCATATGTCGAAATGGCTCCGTGTTCAAATGGTTAAACAAAAGCGTAAGAACGTATTCGAGGGATCCTTAGCAGCTCGTAATTCGGGGAAGCCCCTCTCGGGGAATTTTGCTCGAGCGTTCACTGTTGCGGGAAAATGATCTAAGTCTGAGAAGGAAAAGATGTATCGATCCACATTTCGTGTTACAGGTTTATCTCGCTCGATACTTAACTCCTTGGAAGATAAACCCGTCTGTGGGACACTCGATAAGTGGGAGTACAATCGGCCGAAGTTATCATAAACGTTGGAGCTTCTGATGAGACAGTTTGGCCTGTCTCATCGGGAGCTTCGCTGCTGTTTCTCGGACCTCGATTTTCGATCTTCCATCTTTTGGCAATGGATCACAGACTCCGCAAGCTCATCTCGTTCTTCATCCTGGTCCTCTCCTCGAGCTTGAACAGCGGAAGTGTCCTTTTCGGTCGCGGTGAGTACTCTTAATAGGCTTTGTCACCTGGAAAAAAAAAAGAATGAGAAAAGACTCGGTCTGCCCAGTTCATATATTTTTTTCAGATTCCTCTGTAAGTTTAACAGGTTTTTAAAAAATGGTTACATTTCCTTTTTTTTTCTTTTTCCATTTACGCATACCCTAATTTCTTGACGCCTCTCGTTCATTTAAAATGCCTATTTCTTCCCCAGATGACACATTCAGATCCGTCAAAACGTCATCGACGGGAGACAGCAGCCATCTTCCCGAGAGCGTCTACGCTTTCCGCTCCGAAAACGCGTCGGTCCAAGAAAATTGCACCGACCGATCCATCAACGATTTCCCGAAAGACCTGTTCACCTACGAGCAGAGGAAACACGGAGCCGTGTTGCTGCACACGATTTTTGGACTGTATTGTTTCGTGCTGACCGCACTTGTCTGCAACGACTACTTGCTGCCAGCGATGGACCTCATCTGCGCAGACCTGAAGATCAGCATGGACGTCGCTGGGGCGACATTTCTGGCCACTGCGAGTTGCTTCCCAGAGCTCTTCGTCAACGTTGTCGGCACTTTCCTGACGGAATCCGACCTGGGAGTCGGAGCCGTCCTAGGAGGCGCCGTTTTCAACACCTTCGCGACGCCGGCTTGCGGCGCTTTATCGGCGGCTCAGGTAAAACGCGCGTCTACGCCGTTTTCCTTAAATCGACCCGATACGATCGGTGGCAATGAGAGATACATACCCGCTTATCGGATTGGCCATTGCTCCAGGGCCGATGTGTCTTCGATCCTTAACGGGTCGGGTGGACAGCGAGATCGGATGATAACAAATCATGGAGCCTTCGGCAGTGCCGTTTCTGGAGCAAAAGTGCATCCTGCACTCAGAGATAAATCCAGCTAAATGAACGATTTCTGAACTACTTTTCACTGTTATTATTAACGTGACTGATATATTAATGATTATTATAAATTTCACATGCTCGTAAAAAATTGTGGACGGTGCCGAGGAGGGAGGATTCCCATGATCAGCAGTGGGTCGAATTGGAGTGATATCAAGATGGGTCGGAAATTAATTTCTACTTATCGGATCTTGCTCGGTCAAGAGGAACGGTTTATTTTTTCATGTCAAATTTATTTCCAGGGAATTCAACTGGACTGGAGCATCCTGTCGAGGGACTGCGTGATCTACATAATGTCGGTCAGTGTTTTGGCGGTGATAATGTGGGACGGACTCGTCACCTGGTACGAGTCCATGATTCTGATGATCATGTTCACCAGCTACTTCACGCTCCTCTTCTTCAACGAAAGGCTGATCAGGTGGGCCAACAAGCTGATTGCGACCTTCTCCAAAAGAAGCCAGCTGAACGATACCAGGCGGGAGCCCCGTAAGAAATTTCGAATTTACTTCCTCCGCTCTATGAAGGACCTTACGAGGGAATTTCATGGTGGTCCTTCCAGCTCCAGAAGATAAGACCGACCCCATGCCGTTCGGCACCTACAGGCCGTACTTTCACGGGGAATTGATGATAGAGTACAGGAACAGCATCTCAAAAGCTGGAGGCAAAATCCCCAATGGGACGGCTCGCCCTGACGAGCACCTCGAAAAACTGGAGTACGTGGAACCAAGTGCGTGACCCCGAAACTTAAAATCTCGACCCACGCCTCTTCCAAGTCGAGCCTCTCAAATTTTGATGACGTTTAAGGTGATATGAAAGGACCACTCTACATATACAAAACGTGAAAATATTTATAAAACTTTTCTCCAAAGTGGATGCATCGAATCGATGGGAACTTCAGCGTGTGATTACTTCCATCGATTCGGTGCATCCAGTTTGGAGAAAAGTTTTATAAATATTTTTAAATATTATGTATGTATATAGAATGGCCCTTTCATATCAATGGAATTGGTCGAACGAGTATTTCACAATTTTAGGCACTCCATTTACGTGGCCTGGTGGATCCACGTCTGCGAACGCGTGGTTCCTCTTTATCTGGCCCCTGAAGTTCATCCTGTTCATCACGGTGCCCGATAGCCGATTTAAACGCCTCAGGAACTGGTACCCGGTGACATTCGTCATGTGTGTCACCTGGATAGCTATTACTTCGTACTTGACGTCATGGATGATGACAGTGGTCGGTGACACTCTGAACATCTCCGACTCCATCATGGGGATCACTATTCTCTCGGCGGGGGGCAATATGCCGGAACTCGTCACGATCGTCACCCTCGCTAGACAAGGTAAGTTTACAAATGATTTCCACCCAGAAGATGAAAGATTCCTGAAAAGACGTCAAGTTACAAACCTCGCAAATTCCGTTCTTTTTGTCCAAGGCTACGGGGATTTCTGGGTACTTTGATCAGGAAGCGGTGATAAGTGATAAGTGGACACGCGCCAGATCATTAGCCGGATAGACGATTATTAAATTGCGGTATATCTGGGAAAACACTCGACTCGGCCGGTAGATTTCTCACCTGATTTTCATTTTCACTTTTGAGTGGAATTGCCCAATCAAGACTACCCCCTTCCTAATTAAAAACGGCAAACCGCGAGGAATTTTGATAAGGAATTCTTTTTGCAGGCCACGGTGATATGGCGATGAGCAACACCTTGGGGGCCAACACTCTGGACATCCTGATGTGTCTGGGTCTTCCCTGGCTGATCAAGTGCATAATGTCCGGCCAGGACATCGAGATCGTCTCCGGCGCCCTGGCGTACAGCATCCTCTCCATCTTGGTCTGCGTGGTTGGATTTTATCTCGTAACGGCCTTCTTTAAATTCAAGATGAACAAAAAGGTGGGCTTCGCCTGCCTCTTCATGTACACCACGTTTCTGGTCTTCGCGGTGATGGTGGAGTCGAACGTCTTCTTCTTCGTCAACCTGCCGATGTGCGACCGCTGAAGACCTCCTCTTCGATCAACAGTGATCCTGAAGAAAGACTCGTTTATTCGAGGACCTGATTTATTTTTCCGTTTTTTATTCCAGCCTTGAGAGGGCGTTCGTTGATCTTAACCCTTTAATTATGGCGTAACCGGACGTGGAGATGTATTTGTACGGATAGTTAGACCCCATAGTGCTGATATTTTATATGAATACGATATTCATTTGTCGCTTTGAATACTTGGGAATGAAGGGGGTGCACTATAGGGGCGTTTCGTAATTAAAGGGTTAATTTCGAGCCCAATGGTTTCCGTTCGCTCAAAGGAGACGGAAATGGCGCACTCGTTGGGGCTAAAAAAAGATGGAGGAATCGTTGAGATTGAACCGTGGCATGCGGCCGCGCTGTAAATAATTAATTCGTGCTCCACTTTTCGCTCGCGGAGTCGCCGAAGGCATAGCAACTTCTCCGAAATACTCTAGAATTCCGTTTAACGTGACTCGGTAGTACTTAGGTTGCTTTACAGATGAATCTCCAAAGCATTCGCTATTAAATTGGGGAAAGAGAGTATCGAGAAAATGTTCGGCGGGGGTGGTTGTGAAATAAAGGTTTAATCGCTGCACAAACGGGGCGTTTTAAGCGGCTTTCAGCCGAAACGGATGCACTTCGGGGGGTTTCCGGGGGGACATCCGAAAGAAAGCGAGAGCAAGCATTGTCTTTAATTGCAGCGACGAGGAAGCAATTGTGCGATCTCGCTGTAAAAAGTGCTCGACAATGGAGGTGCACTCGCGGCATCGGATTCGAATCTTTCAGCCTGATTACCACGACTCCGCAATCCACCATTCTGTAAATCCGCGCGCCACTTCCGGTTTTTCCAAGAGAATGAAAAATCCCCGAGGAAAAATTCCGAGTGCATTTCCGCATTAATTTTTTTTCCGACCACGCCGAGGTGTACGAGATCGAAGTCGCGGAGGAAACGGACCTAAATAATTTTCCAGGAATTTCTCAGACCAATTTTCCGACAGGAAGAAAAATTTACGACGCCCTCCGAACACCTGGGGAATATTTGCAGACATTTCGCATGCGAGATCTTTAAGTTTGCAGACACTTTAGAGCTTAACCCAAATCCAAAGTCAGCCTCGCCTGAGGATAAGTCCGAGAAGGAGGTAATCCTCGTGCAAACTATTTTCCTAAAAAAAAAAAAAAAACGATCCCGTTGTCACTTCTAAACTGATAAGATTAACGAGATGGGGTCACGGTATTGTTTTAATTACATGATCGAGCTCGAGTTTGCTATCGAAAAATTTGAAATAAATTTTCGGAGCGTTTCTGGGAATGGAGAGGACTCTAATAATTCCCGAAAATCGATACGCCTCACCTCCGGTCGCGATTGATACTTTATTAAACAATTTGCAATGATCACTTAACATTGTAGAAACAATCTTACGATTAAAGTAGAGTGCACCGAAAGATCACAAACTCCTCTAAATCGGCCTTAGGCGGATCCAACGCTAAAGTCACTCGAATTTCTGGCGAGTTAGCACGTGAAATTCATAATTCGCAGCTTAAACCTCGTTATAAAGCCGATGCTCGTTTTTAGCGCTGAGTATTCGCGGTCCTTAAACTGTATAATAACCTGCTTTACGTCTTGGATAAAGAAAGTATAACAACCTGGCGTTTTTTCTCGCAAAATTCCGGTCTCGTGAATTAGATACGTGTTAATCGTGCGTCTCTACGTTGCCGGAAAATCTGAGAATTTTTCGTAATAAAAGGAAGAAAAAGAGTCCGAAAAGGAATTAATTAACAGACGTGCACCCGAGGTGTAATGGAGAGTTAATTAAAACCGGTAGAAAAGTTAGCTTATCCTTCGTGCGCAATTTTATCCTCGAATTTGAAGCAATTGTATCGCGTTACGGCGTGACTCTGTCACCGTCGTCTTCCAGGCTTATAAAAAGGCGAATATCATGATATCATTTAGATTGTATTTAATAAGCGACGCTTTAAGATCGTTTTTCATTTCGTCGGGGAAGGATCGCTTCCTCGTTAAAATTGTTTCCGCTAAAAAATTCCCATTTAGTGTCCAGACTCGGTCTGGCCTCGAATTAAAGTTGAACGATGGCGTTTTTTATATTATTTAATTTTCACCCACCCCTGATAAAAGCCAATCATCGCCAACACCTCGGAGACTCATTGTATATATTATTGTTTTGTAATCCATACCTCTCGATCATGGCGCAATGACATTTCCCAGATAGACAAATTTATTCTGTAATATGCGTACACATATCGCAGACATTTAATGCAGCGAATGGTCTGCAAATTCTTAGTAAATCGATTTCCCTCATAATGTAATGATCACGAATTTCTATCTGGGTTCCCATAAATTACTCCCGCCATAATTAAGTCTTCAGCTCGTTGCAATATCACACGTTTATCGTCCAGGAAAATGTTTTTAAAAATCACGAACCTTCGTTTAAGCCCTACTCGACGATCCTCGGGTCCCCCAATCGTCGTACATTACGGTTTAATTATCACGAACCTTCTTACAACTCCTACATGATATCAATGTCGATCGTGTCCCTTCGAAGGTCGATCTTCTGCCTTTTGATTTTCGAAATTTACACATCGGGTCGTAACGCTTGCCTCTTCGAGACTTTCGCGCACGCGTGTTAGATCTACATTCGTGTATATATATATACATATCTTGGATACATATATATATTAATTTTCCCAAGCGTTCCACGCTTCCGCATTAAACCTCCGAAACGGTAACCGTTGATAAAATATCTTAAACTTTACAAATATCTCCTCACCACTTCTCTCTCCCTACGCGAGTTTCAATTATCCGAATAAACCGAACGAACGAATTGCGCGCACCTTTGCCTAATACCGCGAGCGATTTACTATTTAATTATTATTTAAACGTCGGATCGATCGGTCGGGCCGGCCGCGAAAAATGGCGAAAGACTCCTACGGTTCTTTTTCTTTTTTTTTCTTCCTCGTGTAGCGTCGGCAGTAAGCGTAGTTTCACTCCTCGCGATTAATCTCGAGTACCAAAAGACCAACTAAGTAACTACGGAAAATCCTTCCGACGTTATTTCCTCGTCCTAGCGTGATTTAAAAAAATCCCCCCGGAAAGAGGCCCATCCACATAAAAATAAATGTATTTCAAGAATATACGTCAAAAGTATTTTCCCGTATATTATTAAAATACATTTATTTCCACGCGGCCAGAGAGCGCGGCCATTTTCCCCGGTCGTCATCCGCGCGTTATTCATAACTCGGGATATACCTCTCTTGGGGAAATAATTCATTTCGAATCTAGTAAAATGGACGAAGTCACCTGTCGGCGCGTTAATTAACCTCTGATGCATCACTTCGGAAGTGTCCGAGAATGCCAAGATGGACGACTAGTTCGGGGACGAAATCCTCCCGGAAGGACTCGAGTACGAATTAGATGGACTAAAGTAATAGATAATCGTTAGTCGAAAAACTGACGTAACGGCGTTCGAAGCTTGCAAAAGATTGATCATATCCCTAAGAACACGTTAATAAATATTATCTCGGTGACGTATTGCGGATGGCATAGTTATTACGGAGCGGTCGCGAGCTAATCTAGGTTCCGATTAGTTTTAATGAAGATTAGTCCTTTCTATCTAGAAGTGTCGCTTTCGCGAGGCTGCCATTACGGCCGTATAGCAAATTATAACATACGTTAGCTCGTCTCTCTCGCTCCTCAGTCGCTCGGTCATTCGCTCTCATTATGTAAATCGCCGATCTCGGAAACCGTGCAGATTTGGCGAAGCTTCAAGTAAGATAGTTACGTTCGAATGGCTGGTTTCGAATCGGCGTGATATATGTATAAGGCTCCACCCCAGCACAGCCATATAACTAAACTGTAACAACAATGTAACAAACATGGCGGCCAAAGGATGGATTTCGATCCCTCGTGTCCCAATTTCGAGCGTCAATTGCTTTTGCAGAGAATCGTTATTTGTTACATTACTTGCTACTCGGATGAGTTATATAACCGGGATATAGTGCACATGCTGGGGTCATACTCCGGACGACCCTTAAATACTTAATACCTGAAGTACCTCGGGAGAATAGACCCTCTCTGGCTATCGTACGGCTAACTATCTCCTCCGCGAACCTGGGCAAGTAGGAATCGTTCTCTACGTCTGTATATCGTTATTACTCGAGTTTTGCATTAATAGCTTACGCTAGAGTCGCCTATACGTGAGCACTGGATGATTAAAAATACATTGGAGGGACAATGGCGCCCCGACCTTGCGAGACTCCCTAAGAATTAAGTAATTCGAAAAATCTCTCTCCCGCCTCCACCTCCACCTTCCCCTTATTACCGGCAGCGAGTTTACCTCGAGATTTCCGGTTTAGCTATTAGTTGTTAATCGGTAATTATTTATTATGGCGAAATTCCGAACTACGCTCCTCGCCTAGGGCCAAGCACGGACGCGCGGCACTTCAGTGACCCGGAGACTTCGACGCGAGCACAAGCCGTGTCGGTTCGGCCGCCATCTTGGATCCCAGCGTTCTTCCGAAAGCCCAGATGAGCGTTCGAACCGATTTCTACGGATTTCCTTCTGTTCGCGCTCCAGTTTGGGTACTAAAAAATTATCTCCTAATTTATCGGTCGTTCCCGGTGACCCGTAGAGGTCTTCGATGGATGGCGAAAGGCGAACGACGCCCGTCGTCGCAGGCTTCGCTCCGAAATCTGGCGAGGAAGCTGCACTGATAAAAACTGCCCATGTAAATTTACATACCCAATTGATTATTTCGATGCCACGATAAATTGCAGTAAAGTCGCGTTGTCTCTGTACTCACATCTAATTCAAGTGAAAATGCACTAATACGGTAAATATACACCGTTGCGTGTACGTGTAGAATTTTTAATTTTTCCATTTTACGTTTTTCTATGTAAAACCTCAGTTATGAGGTATGTAAAGATGTATGGAAATACTTTGTTAATTCAACGAGAATTTATTTGACTGGAATAATTGTTCATGGAATTAACAAAATATTTCTTTGATTGAATTCTTGTTTTTTCGTTTTCTCGGTATAAGTAAGAATCAGCGAACGGAGGGTCTAGAGACGACCCGATGACTAACGACTCTATTGTTAATGACGAATCGTGCAAGATATTTTTCTATGGCGGTCATGCACTATGGTTCCTTTTTTTACACTTCGTTGAGTGTCTTAATTCCTAGTAGTACTGGATGCCGATATTCGATTCTTGCTCAAAAAAAGCAAGCAAGCTTCCTCTCGACTAAATATTAGTCAAACTCCTCCTCGCCACCCTCTACGGTCGTTTATACGACACGGAAATGTATAAATAAGCCGTAAGTTTCTAGGAAATGGACACGGCTATGTACCCTTAAAGTTTACTCGACTAAGGCGTGCCTAGATTTTGATTTGCATAGAGGAATCCTGTCCAACCGAAAAAGCCTCTGCCATCGCAGGTCCTCGCCAGAAATCGGAACGTAGCCTTCGTTGAAGCTTTCCTTGAAATTCTTTGGAGGTTAGGAAACGGACGACCTCTCCTAGGCCTCTCCTCCGGAATTCGGAACACGCATAAATCGGCATATAATGGCGTATTAAGTGTGCAACTTTCTGAGCGAAGCATAATCTAGAAATTGAAAACGCGAGATGCCCGAAACTTCGAGTCCGTCCTCCAGCGCGGGGGCGAGAAATCGGATGGAATTTCCCGAAGGAAAAATGACTTTGGAACCTGATCCTCGTCTAAATTAGAAGACTCGGATCGCCCTGGAATTCTCCTCGGGGAACGCCACCCGATCTCGTCTCGTCATCCTCGGATCGCGGTTCCTTCGAGGGCAGAAAGTCGCCCACCATGCTTTGCCTCGAGGGGTTATTCACTCAGGAAATTATGGATTTTAATATTGGAAATCACGTGGAAATCGTAAGCAGAAATTAGCTGGAAATCGGTGAAAATTGTCGGAAGTCCCCGACATATTCTCACAATTTTAAGGTGAAACGTCACACGGAAAGAAAAATAAAATATTTTCGTTGCAATTACCATAGCAACGTGGTTAAATTATTTTTGTAATACGAATCACGCAAATGATGAGATCGATCACATCGAATAGTAATTCTAACTTCGTCAATAGTTGCAGTATCCACGACGCTGCGCTAAAAAGTTGCAGGAGTGATAACATTACCCATCAAGTGAAGTTACGATAACCACAATTGCGGTTTTCCTCGCCGTTTTTCACATTTCGTGCACTTGTTACCGAATCTCATTGCCGTTTATCATACGAAATGAAGGTTCTCAAAGAAGTAAATCGTTTTCCCCGATTTCCGAGTGAACAGCCCCTCGCTTTGCCTCCACCTCTTCGGGGTCGATCGGCGACCCCCGCGAGTCGTTCTCCGCAAAGACGGAACCGTGGATTCGCGCGATTACGAAAATTTCTTATAAAAGTACGAAGTGCCATAACGGAGCTGGTCGCGAGGATCCGCAGTTTGGTGAAACCCGCGACCGATCTGGAGGCGTCCAGGAGCAGGCTGGTCGATCGGTCTCACTGGATCTCGCAGAAGGAAAGCTTGTTGCTCATCTCTTTGGTCTGCTCCTGGTCCTGGCTGTTGCCCCCCTCGCTCTTCGGGCTGCCACCCTCTTCCAGGGAGCCCCCACCGCTTCCATGGGGGCAGATCGATTGTCATCTGAGAGCCAGAGTCGACACCATGGGTGGTCGGGACGGCTTGTTGTCGAGTATCCTCTCGATCTCGGTCATCATGGTCGCATTCAACTTCGGAATCAACTGAAATCAGGCCCGAGGTCAGATTTAACCCTTTAAGCGCTAAGCCCTTCGGCGTACGGGGGAATTTCATCAGGACGTACAAGCAATTTCAAGACCTCCATAATCAGGTGTTAAAGGTTCGAATTATTCTGTGGGGTCAGTTTGATGGAAACTTTTATAAATATTTTTATCTTTTGGTATATATATAAATCATTCTTTCGTTACACCTTAGGAACCCTGAGTTCGATCGACGAGATTCACCTGTAAGCTCTGAAGGCTCTCGTACAGCTGATCTATGTTGGACGCTCCCAGCAGAAGGCACTGGACACTTTCATTCTTAAGGGACCACGCGATAGCCAGCTGAGCAAAAGAGCATCCCAGTCTCTCGGCAAGGGCGCAAACGTCCCTCAGCTTGTCCGAGTACTTCCGTGCCTCCTCGTCGACGGTCTTGTCCTTCCAGGCGTACTCCTGCGGTAATCACATGTCACACTCTTAGAGCGGCCCGTCGCGATCCTAGGCTCGAGCGCCGTCCTACTGAGAAAAGCACGATGAAACGCACCTCTTTGTACAAAGATTGGGTTTCATCCTCTGTCCAACTGAACGAGGAATACTTATGCTGAAAATTACAAAGGCAATTACTCAACGAGTGCGCCCCTCGCCAATTGGGAAACGACAATCGAATCTCGTCCTCGTTGAGAAGAATCTGGCCCCTGGCCGGGGTTGGGTAATTTCATTTTTCAAAGTTTCTGTACGTATATTGCCGTATAAAATTACGTTTCCAATATGAACAATGCCGCAAATGTCCGACGTACGGCATCCACTAAGCTATAAACGTCTCTTAGCACACATGTAAAAAATCGAAATAATAAATGAATTCGACGTTTCTGTTGGAAATTCATCCACTGTTTGATATGAAACTTCTAATAGGATTTATTATTTTATATTTAAATTCGCGTAGAGAACGAGGATATGCGTAGAAAACTAGAGACGTAATATAGGTTGTAATACATGCGTAGAGTACCATGACGCATTATATGTACCCAACCCTGCCCTTGGCTCCGAGTCTCGGGTGAAACCGGACGGACGGATATCCGGTCACCTCCGGGTTTTCGGATACCCGTCATCCGAAAAGCCCGAATATTGGAGTTTACAGATCGTTTGGACACCTAGGAACAGTCGCGATGGGAGTCTTTGACGCGATTCCTTCGAGCTAAAAAGTGGACGCCTCGACACTGTGCCCAGAAGGACAGATAGTGGACGGAATATCTCGTGGGACCCACTGGGATCTCTTGTATACCTTGTACGACGACCTGGACAGGAAGGAGACCCCACAGTCCTCCGGTTTGGCGGAGACCATGCCGATCGTCACCGTTGACCAGGCCATCAAGCCGACTCCTGGAAATCCATACGCCATATATGAAAAGCAACCGAGATTCCGGCCCTGGATTTTTCTAAGACCGGTCAGTTCGTTACCAATTTTGTTGTACAACTCGGGCATGTACAGCTCCGGCTTCTCCCTATAAAACAGGTGGTACTCCGCTTGCTCTACGATGGGAGTGACGCAGTTGAATTGCCTGCAGTTCGTGTACGCCTCCATGATCTCTACGGGGGACCATCGAGAAGTGCCCCAGTACATGACCCAGCCCTTGCTTATCACGTAGTTCATGGCTCGCACGATTTCTGAAAAAGTTCGATCGGTTCGATTAGGGACCCGGACCACTATTCCGGGATATTTCCCTTTCAGGTCTTGGACTCTCACCTTCCATGGGGCACATCGGGTCGACCTTATGGATCATGACGATGTCGATATACGAGAGCTGCAGCCTGACCAAGGAAGCTTGCACGGATTCGATGATGTGCTTGCGCGACAAGCCCCGACCCTCGGTCCTGCAAGCATTAGGAGTTAACTCCTTTTTATCCCCTAGGTCGACATTAATCGAAAAAAAAAATTAAATAATCAATAAAAAATTAAATAATCAAATAATAATATTAACTACGGCGAAATGGAGGTGGTAATATTTTATATGAACAAGATATTCGTTTGTAGCTCGGTATACGTGGATATGAAGGGGCGCTTCGTAAAAAACGCGTCGATCATGCGGAAGCCACTATGGTGGCGTTTCGTAATTACAGGGTTAATAACGCCGCTGTCGACGTTGGCATCTCGTTATATCTCCCGACAATGTGGCGCTTCTTTATTCCCACTCCCATTGTTGCGTTGTATTGACTCGAAACTCTATCTCGCGGCTTCAAAGCGGGCCTCTGAAGAGGTTCGAAACTAGCACCTGGTCGTTTTGTGAGCCCTCCTCTCTTGTTCCAGCGGGACAAAAGAAATTATGTGCAGACGCGCCGTGACCGGGGGAGATGGGCGGAAGTGCTCCGCACCGGCTCGAATCCCGACATCAAAGCCCTTTCGGAGAGCTTGCTCTCGCCAAACGTAAAGTGGCAACACTTGAGTAATCGAAAGTCGTCGACGGGGACTCCGGTTCCGAGTTCCGAGGTTTCCGGTGTCCCGGTAAGCGCCAGGGATACTTTTGCATCCGAGACAAAAGCGACGCCACTCTTTCGGATCCGACTCTCGAGTTCCTACGATTAACGTTCGCATGCGAAATTGAAAGTTTTCTTAGACGACATTCTAATGTCGGCCAACAATATGAAATTTCATCCCGCGAAAGACACTCTTGCGCATTCAAACGTCGCCCCAAGTCCCGACCTCGCAACAATGCGACATTTTTTCGTGCTAATTTATTCGCATGCAAATAAAAAAATCTTGCACTTTCAAACGTCGATCAGTGACGCGACTTCGCAACGATGCGAAATTTTGTCATGGGAAGAAAAAATCCGGATGAATTCGAGAATCGATTTCCAGGTCCCGATTACGTAGCTCAAGGCTCGGCCCGTCATCGCCAGCAATCGCGATCGAATTTCGAAATTGCCTCTGCTGGTGAAGCAATTTGTTACCCCAAACGCGGCCTGGCTTCCGGCGGGAGCGTCATCGGTCATTCCGCAGCGTCGCGACGCCCGACCTACCCCGAGGCTGAGCGCATAAGGCCGGTGCTCGCAGGACCAGAATAATCCGAGTTACCGATCGGCTACATCGGAAGCATTCTAGGATATCCAGCGGTCGTGCGTTAGCGGTTTACCCGGCCAGATCGACCGGACCCGGTATCGATTGGTCCCTCTTCAGGAAGTAAGTCGCGACCGCGAAGTAGTACAAGGAGATCCCACATTTCGGGGATGAGCGCTCACGTTCACCCCTAAGCGCTCAAGAAGAAGCTCGAAAGAGGGTACGAGGAGGTATCGCTGATAAAGTAAGTCTCATAACGCTGAAAGTGAGACACGAGTAAGGGTCTAAAGGAATTTTTATCACGAGGAAATCAGAGCAGAGGCCGATTAGAGGGTCCGCAGAGCCGCGAGTGGAGTCGCCGCGGACGAAGTCGCTGCAGGCCCTACTCGATCGACCTACTTGGTATTCCAGTAGATTTTGGTGGTAACGACGTAGCTGGAGCGGTTCCAGGCGCGTCGCAGAAGTATGCGGCCCAGTTGTGTCTCGGCTCGATGTCCACTGTGCGCCTCGCTCAGGTCGAAGACGTTGATGCCGCTGTCGTAGGCCAGCGAGACGACGGCCTCGGCGGCCTCCTCGCTGCTGGCACCTCCGACGCCCCCGAAGGTGGTCCACGTACCTGGGACAGGGAGGCTCTCCAAGTACAGTCATACACCACGAGACCGTCGACGTCGGATCGTCCCCTAGGAGTACCTACGGGTCGATCGGACCTCGAAAGCGGGATTCGCCGTAAAGAAAATCGATTGCAATCCTATCGGACACGTAGAAGCACCTCGGACTACTCGGGAGCAACAATACGCGTCCGTCTCGCAAAGAAGAAATATTCGTAATTGAATAGAAATTATCGTGAGATATTTTTTCTTCGCGGGACTAGGTGTTTCTTTCGATCAGCTGATCTTTTCTCTCGGCGTAGGGTGACTAATGAGGGCGAGGTATAACGATCTATGTACTCGGTAAGTACCGGGAACTAACTCTATAGCTACGGTGCGGTCTACGTTTCTCGTATGTGTGCTCGGTTGAAATTGGACGACACGTAGTGCACCTTGCAGGAGTCCAGGCAGCGTGCGTGCAGAGGCAACCCTAATCGATGGCCGGGACTCGGCCTCGGCGCTGCTTGGAACAATCCGTTTTCATCCTATTATCGATATTGAATATTGAACGACACGGTTTCTTCGCCCGGCTCGAAGGGGTTAAATATCGAAGCCCCGACGTTACGTGGATACGTGTCCAAATAAGGCACCTCGGCGGGCGTCGGTCTCGACAGAAGCTGTTATCACGACTTTCCTTATCGACCGCGACAGGTACCGCGGAGTGCACAGGTGCACCACCTTTCGCACCTGATTAAAATGATCCCCGCGAAAGTATTATGACCTTATAATATTTCTTTGTTAACAGCTCCCCTTATTTTCATTTTATGCCTCTCGCGAGATTTTTCTTTACGGTGAAAAAACCTTCTCTTTTTATTTTAACTCATTTTGTAACAATCTCCCCAATCTCTCCTAATTGCAAGCCCGTGAATTAATAATGCCGGGTCTATCTCTCTCGGCGTGACATGGGATAACATTTATTAATGCCAAAGGCACGTGCACACAAGTTGCAGGGCGGGAAGTTTGCGGATTCGTCGTCTCGGCAGCCCGGCGGAAAATTAACTCCGATTGTCTCAATATTTAACTTGGCATAGTCGGAGGAGGATTCGCGGTCGCGGCCTCACGAGGACCCGACTTCCCGGCCGAGAAAACGTTTCGCTTCTCCGGCAGCTTCGGTACTTCCTGTCTAATTCGGAGTTAAGCGAGCCCCGCGAGCATCCCGAAAGCGGCCTTCATTTTGGAAACGGTTCCGCTCCAACTGGGGTAATAAAGTTTCTAACTCGCCCGAGCGGGCAGAGATGGCAAATTCCGACCGCCCTGGCGCTATTAAAGCGAAGGTAAACGGAGAAAAAAATGTATATCAAAGTCGGGAAAAATGAGTCTTCTAAATACCATATTACCGGTGCCGTCCTATTACAAACAGCTTAAGGTAATAAATAATGACGTTTCGCACCGCGTAAATCGAGGGTGAAGTGTGTAGTACGTCCCTAAATGCTTCGTTTCTAATTTAATACAAACTCGAAAATTGTTCTTTGTCAAGCCAGATCACGCATTTTTCCATGTACGCCGATTGAATGCCATCGGAGGAAAAATTCATGGATTCATCGACAGCCGATCGAGACCCCTGCGGAACGACGGGCCGCCATCGATCCGGTTCATGTCGAGGACTCATGGATGAAACATTTATACACGAGGAAGAAATTAACACGTAGGTGTATACACATGACAAAAGCGGCCGAAGAAGCGAAACCCCCAACACGGACAGACGACACGAACCGACGACCACGCGGGGCGGAAAGTTCCCGCGATAGGCCCTGGCGAAAGTGGCTGATAAAATTCCCCTCCCGTCAATTGGAAAACCTTATTTCCCACGTCTGAAAGGCTCAGGACGGGGCGGCTCAAAAGAGGCGCGTTCGCCCTCGATCGCATTTCCGGGATCGAGTTTGAACACCCTTTCGGCCCTAGGGACGCGACATACGAGATTGGAACGTGTCAGGTGTGGGCACGAGGGATGCCGTGCAGAAAAACTGGATAAAGCGCGATATCTCTACGCGTCTCGTCCCTTTCGCACGTCGAGGCGAGTGTCGACCTCGTGGAACGCGTTTTCCGCTTTTGTCGCGACCGCGACGAGCGAAAAGACGAGAGACTGCAACAATGAACATGCGAGGGGGTCTCGAGGGTGCATTCGGCATCGGTTGCACCGAAAGGTGTCTCCCTCAACCCGCGGGGTGCCAACAAAAAGCGTCGTTTTGGATTCTCATATTAATCCCAATTTCCTCGATTTCTTCGATTCCTTAAGAAGTCCCGAAGGTGGGCACTGGGGAAATCCTGGATTTTAACCCTGAAAATCACGTGGAAATCCCAAGCCAATTTGGCAATTTTTGGAAACCACTGAAACGCTGTCGCGAATTTCAGGCTGAACGTCCTTTGTTATCAAATCGCATTGTTGCTTGTCATATAAAATGAAAGGTAGTCCGCTCTCAAAGGAGGAAATCGTTTTCACCGATTTTCCAAGTGGACGCTTCCGTTGGCACCCCGTGAGATCGCGACGAGGCGTACAGGTGGACGGTGGAGGGTGGCAGGGGCCGCGAGAAGATCTAAGAAAAAACGGGGGTGGACATTCAGCGTACCTAATCCAACATTGGAAACACGTAGACCGCTTTTGCCCAAGTTGCGGTAGCGAATACCTGGCGAAGGATGCTGTAAACGTTGAGCTTGTGCGGCTATGCAGCTCGTGAGCAGCTGCTCTTTAGTGCCGACCGTGGTGCCGCAGATCACGCCGGAGTCTCCGCCGCCGCCGCCGCCATTGAACTCTTCCATGCAGTCCAAACTCGCTATCGGAGCGCGACACCTGGCTCAGAGAAAATTAACGTCATTTTCTAATCTCCCTTCCGGGCTCGTTAAAATAAACGATTGCCCTCGTTAAAGTGATACGAAAGGGCCCTCTCTACATTATCAATTTTCTAAATATTTATCCAATTTTTCTACGACGGGGTGCGATCGTTTGGAACTTCAACGCGTGATTATGGAGGCTCTAAGAAAGAATACGATGATCGAAAAATTTAATTAAAAAAAATTGGTTATTTATCCCACACTGGAATCAAAGAGAGATGATATGGTGCACCTAGGTTGAAGAAGTTTTATCAATATTTTGACGTGGTCCTTTTGATATCAGTAGTCAGCCTAATAAAGAAAGGAGTTAAAGGTCCAACGAAGACGATAAATCCGACCAGCCTCGGAGGGAATTATGGCCAGGGAAGTCTAAACGTGGACCGATTCGAGCTAATCCAGGTGATTTGTAGCAGTTTGATTAGTAGGGACGACTTCGTGAAGAGATTCAGGGGCTTCGGCCCCCGAGTTGGGGAGATCGATGGATCGAATTGCACCCAGAAAAAGAATTCACAGTTGGAGCAAGAAATTTTACTTGCCGCAAGATACGTGAACACTTGAAAATTTCTAACGTGCGATATATATAAATCTATGTAACAGAAAGTATTTTCTTTTTCAACGATGTCAAGTTTCCTCCAGCTGGACGCTGGACGCAAAGCCGGGGCAAAACGGTGCCCCATTTTCGCCCCTTTTTTTCATTGCATATGTATGAAATTTCAGAAAGCACCGCCCTTCGATTTTCCCGCTCGAGCTCTCTACCCCCGAAATGCGGTGCAAATTATTCCGCGAGTTTCGAAGTGCACCTCGCGCTTCGATTAACGCCGGAAATTCGGGCCGAATTTCAATTCACTATCGGGTTTCTTGTAACGATTACAAGAAGTGAATTAAAAAAAAAAAGTCACCGAACCAAAGAAACATTTCTTTGATTAGTCCCAAAGAAAAATATCCTGTTAATTCGAATAATAATTGTCTAACTCGAACAAACTCGAATAAATCGGATACAAGATTTATTCCTGATTATGACGATTTATTTATATCAAATAATGATTCTTGAAATTAACTAAACTATTTCTTCGGTGCCGTTCGAAGAAAAAACTTCTTTGGTTCAATGAATTGTTTTTTTTTCTTCCTCTGTAAACGATGAATCTTTTTATAAACTCCTGGATAACGAGGTCCACTTTTCGAGGAGCATCGAGGTCGCCGTGTCCATTTCGTCCCCCGATATCGAAACCCGTGACTCCGTTTTGCCCCGGTTTCGAAAAATGCATTTCCGATCATTTCGAGCCGCCCTCCCTCCTCGATCTACATTTTTCCTAATTAAGCGCAATCCCTCTCGTCCCGATGAATGTGCATGAACTTCGCCGGGGTCTCCACTTGTAATTTAATTACCAATGCCGAGTACTCGAGCGATTTCACGAGCCGACGAGTCCGCATCGATAAAATCGATTACGGATCGATTAGTTTCCCCTCGCTGGCAGTTGGGACATGGACCGGGAAAAACGAGCGGCCATTAAAGTTGCCGTTCTCCCCCCACCGGGCAATTACATGTCTTTGGGGACGGGAAAACTTTGGAAATCAAAGTTCTTTGAGTCATCCAAGCCTTTCTGGAAGGGGATTTTTATCGCCACTTTGTAAATACGGGAAATCCGCCTCAGAGGTAGCGATACTCTCCGTGCAAATGGTATCGAGTTGCATAAACACTGCGAGTGCAGGTGCAGGGAAACGGGATTTCGGTAGACGAAAGTATTTCGGGCCTGGCACGAGGAAGTTTAACGATCCAAAGGGGCTCAAGACCAGGGAAAAGCATTTTGATCTCTCCTTCTCTCCTCACGAAGCGAACTTGGAGAATTAGAAATAAACCAGGAACGAACGATGCGATTGGTGTCCCGGAAAATGACAAGAAACATACCCTCGAGGTCAATGTAGAAAAAGATGGTCGCAAACCAAGGTAGAAAAAGAAGATGGCGACTGTCGGGAAAACGGTTGCTATCTCGTTGCAAAGCCTAAATGCGAATTACCCTCGGCTTCTACACTTGGACCCTCCCAATTAAATCATCCCCGTCATTGCCGATTCCAATATCCGTCGAATTAATAATGACACGTGCAATTACTACTCGCCAGCCAATTAAGCGACCTCCAGGACGGAGTGCGGTAATGCCCCGCAAAGCGGTGCACTACCTCGACGCAACCTTCTCGTCAATTCGGAGAGGTTTGAATCGAGCATCGAAACCTGCCAAATGAATTTCCACGCGAAAAGGATAACCTCCAATCCCCGATTGAAATTCGAATCGAACGAGAAGATCGAAGCCATTGTCGGACTCGCCAGAAACAATGGCGCGAATCGGCGCCATTGTTTCTGGCGAGTCGAGTATTTTAATTCGATAAACTCGAGTCAAGCATGTATATGAGTCAACTCGCGTCATTTTGACTGTAACTCGAGTTATCAGTTCAAACTAATACCCGTTAAGGATCGAGTCGAGTACTTGAACTCGAGAAACTCGTTAAACCGAATCATTTTACTCTCCACCTCGCCATTGACTCGACTCGCGGAATACATGCGGTGAGTCGTCGACTCGAATTGGCAATGTTCGAGTAACTCGAGTCAACGAAGTACTCGACTCCATACATCGCTTCGACTCTCCTCGCCGCGTTATCGACTCGAGTCGAAACTCGAGTAATCAGAGCTTTGAAATTCCAGTAACTCGAGTCGGTAAAGCCTCCTCCCCGTCACGTCACTCCACCAGATATCTACCAAACCCTGGAAAACGACTAATTTCGAATTTCCCCCGAAATACAAAAGTAACCCGCCGGTACTTCTAGGACGAACCGCGTTCCCGGGGAGGGTACCTCGCAACCGGGGTCCGTACCGATAAATGGTCGGCAGCACGTAAGAGTCGTCGTCCTCCATGCTGCTGTTGGTGTTGGCGTTGTTGTTGGTATCATTTCCCGCGTTCGAGCTGTTGCCGAGGTTGCAGAGCATTAGGTGTGACATGTCCCCGAGAGAGGGGGGTCCCTGGCCGGGGGTTCAGGCGTCGGTCCTTGGGCGCATCATGGGAGCCCTCGGAGGTGGTCCTCTCGTCTTATCATCGACGGGCCTCGAACCTCCCCTGGGGGGTCGGGCGATAAATCGGCGCGGCGGCTCGATGGCGCGTATACATCGGTGAACGGTCGGTCAGGCGAGTAGGTGATAATTATTGCGCGTATCGTAGGCACTGGTTTTATTGAGTGGTTTGAGGCACCGGTCGGGGGCGACGCGCAAGGGCGGCCGGGCTCGGCTCGAGGCGTCGTCGTCGTCGTGCTCCCCTGCCGCGGTAGGCAAGACTGGCGCGTCGCGTCGCGACGCTCTCGCCAGGCGCTGCCGGACTGGGCTCGGGCTCGGGGCTCGGGGCCGGCGAGGGCGCATGTCGAAGTCGCATCCAGCGCATGGATCGACTGGGGCCACTCGGGCGCCGGCGCGCGCACCCGCGACCGAGGAGTCGGGACGGCAACCAACGACTCGCCGGCAAAGCCGCATTGCGGATCCGCACGCTGACGCCAAGCCAACGGGCCGGCGGTCACCGCCGGCGACCGGGCACCGCCGCAGAGGAGACCGAGGGGGTGCCCGCGGAAAATCGCGGATTTTAAGGCGAGACGTCAGGATGCCGCGAGATGACATCACTGGGAGTCCTTGGTCATCCCCGAATTACCGTCGTTTTAAGGTCACTTGTTACCGAATCGCATTGTTGATTGCATTGTTCGCCCAAACGGCTTGCCGCCTTCTTCTGATCGAGCATCGATAACGCGTTGCCGAATTCCCACGCGGAGGGAGGATCCAAGAGATCCACCGGCCTCTGTCGAGGTATAGATCGAGGACCAAGGGGTCGGTCAGCTTCCAAGGGGCGGATCACGGTTTCCTGAATTGGAACACCGACCTGGGACTTGTCGGGAATGCGCTCGATGGGATGGGCACCGTTTAATCGGAGACCCCATCGTTGTCGAAGCGACCCTTCGGGGCAGCGAGGGGTGGTAACCCTTCGAATTTGGCATTCCCTTTGGGAAGACCTTCCGGGGCCGAGATGTACGATTGAACCCCGGGGGAGGTGCGATCTAGCCCTGTAAAAAGATGCCTGGCATTCGTCCTAGTTTTGGACGCTGCCTGGCAAGAAACGGCCGACTCCACTCGCAAGGGAGAGATGGGGATGACTTCCTTGGAAAGGGGAGCTGGTAACCTAGAGGATTCGTCGGGTTGCGTCCCCCGGGAAGCGAAGGATCCTGAAACGCGCCCTGCTTTCTTAGCGTTGCTTGTTAAAAATTAATTAACGCGAAACTCTTAAGGTGATATGAACGACGCGAAGAAATTTAATCAACATCGATAAAATAAAATTTATCCGTACCATTTTCGGTGGTAACGCCATTTTGGATACTCAAGTAAGCTGGCCCGCCACGTTAACACTTGGATATCCAAAATGGCGTTAGGGCTAAAAAAAAATATGGGAATTTTATATTATCGCCGTCGATGAAATTTTTCGCCGCCTTTCATATCACCTTAATGGAGGCAATTCATGGGTGGGAAAACTCGAGGCTTCCCTCGTTCTTCATTTTCCGCCGTTTCCCCCGACGACCCCGGCAATTTCCTGCGGACCAAAGCGCACGGATTAACCAGGAAAGACTGCGAATACGAGATTACGACTCACCGGATTGCATCCGTTCCTATTTCTTTTTCTTTTTCTTCGAGGGACTTGCAAGCTCCTGCGGGACCAAAGACGAGCCGACATTTGCGGGGAAAATTCGAAAGGTAAATCACGAAGTTCAGGTCGAGGGTCTTCGTTCATCGGCTGGACAAAGGGGGGCGGTCTCGGAAATACCTCGCGAATTCGAACCGTTTAATGGAAATCTCGCTTCTGGCCGGATATCGGGCACCGATCCGCAAAGTTTGCAGTCCAGCGAATCCTCCACGCCCTCGCGGGGGGTTCCCGAATCGGAGCATCCGCGCGGTTCGCTTTTGTCGCCTCTACCGCTCGGCCAGAGACGGATCCAATGGCGGCGCTTCCACCCCGGGTTACCGTTTACAATAATTTATTACAGACGTGTTAATCTTAACTCGTAAGTCATCTAACTACATAGCTGCGTACGTGGTCTAACGTCGGTGCGCGGTAATGAACGGAGTGACGGCTTGCCTAACTGGATGGACCGCATCGACGGTACACTGAGAAAAAAAAAAAAAAAGAATTCAATGAACCGTAGAATTCTCTGAATGATACCAAAGAGAATATTCTCTTAATTCCAGGAATAATTTGACGGAATGAAATTCTTATGGTTCCGAATAAACGTCGCATCCAATTAATCGGAATTTATTCCAGTCAAATTCCTCGAGTTAAGAAAATATTTCTTTGGCTCAATCACATCTTTTTCTCAGTGTAGTAATGTGACGAGTCGAGTACTTTAACTCGTTAAACTCGAGTCATTTTTATTGTAACTCGTGTTATCGGTACAAACGAATGCGAGTTACGAGGGGAAGAGTGAGACCGAGTTACTCGTACCGAGATACCAATCGCCTTCATTTTTTATTCGAGTAATTATTCGAATCATTTTACTCTCCAACTCGCGATTGACTCGACTCGTCGCGCCGAATTGATTTGCGGCGTCGAGTCGTCGATTCGAGTCGGCAATCTTCGAGTAACTCGAGTTGACATAAATTCAACTGATATTCTGAGTCAAATATTGCGAACTCATTAAACGAGTTGGTCCTACTCAACAGTTTGACTCGACTCCAAAATGTGACTTCGCTCGAAATCTAAGTTGAACCACCTCGCATATCGAGTTCTCCACATTTAACTGAGACAATGAGTGGAATTTATTCTATCTTTAGTTCAGTGCATGCATTTCCTCGGAACCGCACCGAGGGCTCGAAAAGTGACCGAGTAGTCCTCGAAATCTCGAAAAAGGAGCGGGTCCGGAGTTTGCAGCGTCGCGACGCCTACGGGACGATTCGACGCGACGACGCGAGAGAGACTCGTATAAAATGGGTTATTCTCAACTGTATGAATAAACGTGTAACGCTCAAAACACTGTACACACGGGGAGACACATGTATTCGATATAAGCACCCGCCCGACGTTGGTACGGTAGTTGCTCGTAAGTTTCTCGAGGTTCCTCAGGGTTCTCTGGTGACGGCGTAGGCTCGACTAATCGCAATCGTCGGATGGGAGGAAAAGGAAAAACGGACGAACAAACGGAAACGGGCAATTGGCTGGACTTGCTGATCTCGGACGGCCTCACTTGACCGTCCTCTGACATGTCGGCAGATTCACCCTGAAGAAGACATTGAGCTCGATCAGGGATGCTAGGATGAGGAAGACCGCGTACATGCACAGGCAGGCCCGGCCTACTTTCCTATCCAACTGGAACTTGTTAGAGGCGAACGCGATGTATAATAACATTAATGTCGACAGCAAGGAGATGGCGCTGTATTCCAGGCCCCCGGAATTGATGCTGATATAATGCTTCCCGGGCTGCGTGGGTGAAAAGGAGGACTTGATCAGCCAGGGTAGACCCAGACAGAGCAGGATGTCGAACGTGTTGGACCCGATCGAGTTGCTGATGCCCATGGAACCGTGTCCTGCGAACCGAACGGATCGGAACATCATTAAAACCTGGTCGCCATAACCTCGCAACGGATGTACGGTGTTTGGACCGTGAACGCGATCCAGCTTAGGCTCGGCTATGAAATCTGTGACGGGTCCTGACCGAACCTTGCACCGTATTCAAATTCAGTAAATGGTCCGTCACCGATGGTGGAATCGCAAGTAGGTCGCTGAAGATCACCGACGTGTCACTGATCCCATCACCGAGTCCGACGCAGCGATCGGATCAGCGGATGCTGCGAATCAGGGCCGTTGGACCACTGATACGAGTCAGGAGTTTGAGAAGAATCGGAATTGGAGGAGAAATTCGATGGGAAACTATTCCTAATGAGGGTGTCGTTGAGTTCAAGTATGGACCAACCGCGATCTTGTACAAACGGTACCTTGCTTCGCCACAATTACGCTCGATACAGCTTCTGGTACACTAGTCCCGGCAGCCAGGAACGTGATGCCCATTACCGAGTCGGGGATCTTCAATGTATCACCTGAAATGAATTATTATTTAATCCTCTTGAATTTGAAATTCGAATAAGAAACGCGAATCGAAAGCCACAACTCGGCCCCGTTTCGTTAGTTTCATTCGGCACGAGCGCCAAACAATGGAGCTTATTCGGAGAAACGACGACCATTATCGAGAATACTTATTATATTATCGCGTTTATCATAGGCAAGATGATAACATTCACCCGTTTCCTGCTAGCCCTCTCGATAATCTCTCGCTTATCGAACGGACAATAGAGTTCGAAGAAGCGACGCGACTAATTAAGAAATTAGGATTCGGTAAATCAAGGAATTGCATCGGTGCCTTTCGGGGAACTCGCATGTCACTAGTACCCACCGATTATGGTGATCATCCAGGCAACGACGTAGCTGAGCGAACCGATCCAAATGATGCACATGAGGAACGTGACCGGGAACCAATTTTTGAATCGGGGCTTCTCGCAATCCGGTATCGTGCACATAAAGACCAAATGAATTGGCCAGGTCAAGATCCAAGCAGTTTTCCTTATCCAGCCGGCTCTTGCTGGCCACACCAGGAGTTCGTACTCGTACTCTGCCAAAAGTTGGATTATTAAATACCACTCCCTAACCTGAGATAGACTTCCCTTGACGGGATTTTTCTTAATTACTGCTAGTGTATTACTCACCGGGATCGTGGTTCCCCTCCTGAGTTTTCGTGCCGCCATTTTGGAGCGGCACGTCGATCGTTGCAATTTGCTCCGCGCGATCGCCGGCCGATTGCAATTTATCGGATCGCGATAAGTGGATATCTCCAGCCTCGCCTGCGAAACAATATTAATATTAGCTCCGATGCGGCGTGGCCGTGTAATATCCTCACGTAGAGGGATAATTAGGGCTCTGTGGCACAGGATAATCTCGTTTCCTCAACATGGCGGCCGCGTTGTTCCGGTCATTGCCACCACGACCAGAGTCACGTGACAGGTTGGATCGATGGTCGGATCGATCGGTCACGAGATCTAACCGCCTAAATATTCTTGCCGAACCTTACCAAACTAATCAAAGGCCAGTCCTATCTAATCAAAGACAAATCTCGAGCCAGATTACAATCGCTTACGCGCGTCACAGCGACGCGCGTCATCGCGCCGGGGACCCAACAACGGCCGCCATTTTGGTTCCACTTCGTTCGGCTTTCCCTATTTCTCTCAACTTTAATTTTTAAAATTTTGCATACGAAGTGGATTTTACCCTTGGGACTTTTGGCACCTCATTTCTGTAATGCCAAATCGTTCAACTTTGATAAAGAATTCAACGCCTTATCGATTCTTGCATCTCCCTCCCGAAGAGATTGCGATCTCTTACGCACTTAGCGTCATTGAGGTAACTAATTCACGCCTTCGCTCAGATTTTATCGACATCACGCTTTTGCACACCGCCAATATGTCCCCGTCATAGGACCAAAGTTAGGGAGGTTCGATAAACCGGATTTTATGCGTGATTAATTTGACAAGACTAATTGTTCGTGTTCATGAATTTAGTTAACCGGCTCCGCTTATCGACCAAGTTTTACACGTCATCCTCTTAATTACCGTGCATATAAAATGTGCGGAAATAATGGGACCAAATGGCCACTAGTGAAATGACGCGGTACTCGAATGGATAATTATTTGCTACGCCTTCTAGGTACAAAGTGCTACGCGAACGGCTCGTTAAGCCAGAACGTGACACGAGCCCACCTGTAGAGATGTGACAATCTTCCGACGACAGTTGGCTCTTCTTCGTGCGAAACCTCGTGCAACGCTGGAAGGATTTGTCCCAGTACATGACGGCGATATAAACGATGTACAGTAATACCAACGACAATGCCTCATACCACTCGACGCGCTCATCGTGTATTATGCAGATTAAGATGGCGACGGTTACTCCGTACGCGAGGCAGTCCCTACTGACCGGCCACCAGTCTAGAGGCACCACCTGTACAATGGCAAACGGCTTTTCAACATCTTTTGCAAAATCGAACAAAGTAATTTAAGGATACGTTCTCTTAAAAAATAGTAATGGCTGCCCCCGCACAGAAAAAACACATTTTCACTTTTACCAATGCATTCCTATTTTTATCCCGATTCTCGAGTTCATACGAGCAACTTTCGCATGGGATATTTGACAGTTCATATACGACTTCCAAATGTTGACTTTAATTAATCGTTATGACTGAATTATTTTTTTTTGTCGGGGACGTTACGAGGATCAAGATGGCCGACGAGAAGGCACCAGTACAGCGACTTGAATCGCTTTTGAATATTTTATCTCCCGCCGTGGAGCTTCCGATCCGAGTCCGGGTCGTAAGCTCAGCTTTTGCGGAGCTTCCGGGTAGTTTGCCCTCCGATTCCTCCGGCCCAAGTTCACCTCTTCAGGGTCTCAGGGAGAGAAGCTGTGCACTCTTTCCGCTTCCGTTGCTTTGCAATATACGAGGGTACACAGCCACGCGAATGCCCGTGGAAGTGGAGACTCCTTGCTAATCTACGCGATTCCCGGGATTTACAACGGGCTTTGCCTACCGCTGCTCAAACTGATAAAACTCCGCTCGAGATTTATGGAACAAAGGGGTAAATTCAATTACCGATGCCTGTTCCGAAAGGGCAAACTCGGCCAAACAGAAGTCCTTGTCGAAGGCTAATATTAGATAAAGGTATCACAGCTTCTGGAATTCCTGGGAGGGATGTAATTAAGCTGACATGAGAGGATCGATCTATATGTATAAAACGTAAAAATATTTATAAAACTTTTCTTCGAACTGGGGGTACCGAATCGTTTCACACTGAACAACGTGAACATGGAGGTTATAAGGAAAGTCGCGACCCTCATGAAATTTAATTTCTTATAAATCATTTTTAGGATATCCAGGAATACATTTTTTTTAATTTCAAATTGTATGGGTGTCGGGACTTATATTTATACTCTTCATATTTATATTGTAACATTTGAATCGATTCGATACACCCAGTTTGGAGAAGTTTCATAAATGAGACCTCTTTGACGCCACTTTCACATCCCCTTAAGGATCCCAGCATCCCGAAGAGAGGACCGACCGAGGGCGAAAGTAACGCGACATCCCTCGACGGCTAATTTTAATTGGGTCATTCGTATTGACATATCCGGAAGCCCGATTGCCCCCCGTGTGCCATTAACGCGCTCGAGAGGAACAATGTTAAAAAATGTCGCGCATTTCCCGGCACGCATCGACGCGTCAAGAGAAGCATCTGTCGATATCTCCTGCCCCTGATTTCCTCCCTCATACGAACCGATAAACTCCATTAAACGGCGCTAATGAATACAGGAAAAAAAAAGAAATTAATATAGATCCCGGATGAGGAAAATGCCTCGCATCCAGCAAGGCGCGAATCTGCCGATTTTTCGCACCGGATCCGCGAGAAATTTCAGTCGCGTAAAGTGGCCTCCGAGGAAATTTCAAGGGATACCTATAAACGCATCCCTAAAAAAGTGACCCAGATCCGTGACCCGCGATATATCCACCGAGCCTTGGCTCCCTCTCCGGCATCGCGAAAATACTTTCGAGATTCCCTAAAATCTCTCCTGCGAGTCGCCTTGTCCTTGGACTCCCTGGACGAGGGTGAAGAAAAAAAAAAAAGAAGAAGAAATATCGTTATCCCTCTCCTAAGGAATGGGAATCAGGAAACTTGGCTGAGTTTCGCGCCAAATACATTGTAAAGCATGCGCGACGGCATGGAATACTTAACGCCAAAGTTCGACACTTCGGTGCGATATTTATTTCTCAGATGTGAGAACTTATCATGGACCCATGTTTGGCATAATGAAAGTACGTTCCGTTTTGCATTGCCTGTAATTTTTGTTTTTTTTTTTCCCGATCTTTTAGAGCGTTCTTACCATGCCTGCACCGATTCCGCAACATGCCGGGACGGCCAGGATGTTGAAAACCGCCGATCCGACGATCGTCCCTACACCGATGTCACCTTCGGTGATAAAGGTTCCGATAGCGTTGACGAATAACTCCGGTGCCGACGTCGCCGCAGCCATGAACGTGGCCCCGGCCACGTCTTTTGACATCGACAGTGCTAGGAGTGAAAAAGAAAATTCAAAATCGCTCCAGAAATTCGAATCGGGCGAGACGCCATTCGAGTGTCGGAGGTCGAGAGCAAAATTCGAAAAGTGGAGGCGACTCCACTTTTGACTTTTGACTCGCCGATCGAATCTCGACGCGCGGCGTGCCAAGGACTGTTCCTTACCGTGACATATTTTTTCTACGGCAGGTACGAAGAATTTATCGCATACTACTGCTAACGCGATAAAGAGGTAAAGGGATACTACGACGTGGACGACGACGGCCCCGTCTTGTCGTTGCTTCTCGTCGAACAAGTCATGTGGGAAGTCTTCGATCGCAGGTGGCGTGCAATTAATACCTGAAAACGTCAACGATCATTAGGCATTGCCAAAAAATCGTACATAAGCGATCGCAAAATAGACGTTTAAGGTGAAGTGAAAACATGTCGAGAAATTTATACCGAGTCAAGCAGAATTTTTTCGGAAGATCAAACTTTGAAAGTGTCAGGATAGTTCTTAGGTGCTCACGAGTCACGTGTCAAAGTTTCGCCCTTAAAAAAGTGTCTTATTCGAGCCGACGAATTTAAGGGGGTTTCACTTCACCTTAAGAAGACGAATGGACGGATAGAATGAGAAAAAAATCCCGCGGGGCCGAAATTAGACGCGGAAGGATCGTTTATTAGCCTTCTTTGAAGAAGGCGGTCTCCAAAAAACTATCTACACCAGGCGGCACTCGTTATGGCGCGGTAATTGAGCCTTAAGAGTCTTACCGCGAGTTTAAGAGCCTCGTTACATGTCCGGCACATTTTTCCCATCTCCGCGGCGGTGAGGCAATTTACCTCTGCGTTTGGCACCGAGTGCATTTTTAACGTCATTATTTTGTTACCACGGGAACTCGATAACACGGTTTTAAAACGCGGACGGCGAAACATGCTCGCATCGGTGGAGTTAAATGGGAAATTTTTGCCATCGCCGAGTGTCCCGCGTGTTTCGTTTTACGGCTGTGGGCCATTTTTCTGCGTTTCCTCCGCAGCTCGTACATTACGGCCGGATGAAATCGCCGATCGGTCTCTTTCCACGTGCATTCTGAACGGCGTGTCATTGTCACAGTGTCAATGACTGTGGACCTTACCCTACTTGTAATTTAACGAATCGAGCGGCAACAACGAGCTCGCCGATGTCTGGTTCGCTTTTAATAGCTACCGCCCAGGGCCTCCGTGTAATATTCCACAAGGTGTACCAAATGGGCCCGTGAATAATTATTATTGTCGGCCACTACGGATTTTCCATCGCGGATGCACCACTCCCTGAAACGGTAGTCGTAAAATATACGGTTTACGTAACCCCGCACTGCGACCAAGCCGAGTTGTTGGAAAAAGGAGGAATTTTCGACAGGACGAGCGACGAGCGAAAAAGGGTCCTCAAGCGACAATTTACGGACGTATTGCCCAAGGTCCTCCTCGAATCGGAAGGTCCTCGAAGAGGTCCCTAATACTCCGAAATCCATAAAGAACCGCGGACGTCTAATAATAATTTTAACTCCCTTTTATTCCCTCTCGAGAGCGATGCAGGAACGTTCCTCAGGTTACAAACGTGTAAATTTCGCACTTTCGAAAATGACCTCTTTCACGGCGCGGAATTTGCAAGCTCGTCGAGAGCGGCTGAAAAACGCTCAAAGGATTGTACGTTAACAGGGTCTGATTTCATCAGGGATCGTTTTTAACGTAATGTTAATAAAAACTGAAGAGACTGAATTGCCTCGTCCGTTCATTTTCGGACTCCTCTCTGTCGGTCGGTCGTTTGACAAAATCCATTTGATACAGGGCAGGTTACCGTCCAGTCTCGCGTGTCAAAACTGACGGTCTTTTGATCCAGACAAGTGCGATTAATTCGGCGACTCTTTCACGGGGTCTCGCTCTCTCTTTGTCGGAGCTCATCTCGGAAGAAAATAGCACGATGCCGCTGTAAAGTAGGAAGTGGGTTGTTAAAGTTGCCCCGCGATTACTACAATTTTGATGAAACGCGTGGTCGAGTTATTTAAGAAAAATACCAAAGGGGGGACTTCTTGCGGAAACGTTTACCGACATGTCAGACCGAGTGAACGGCGATCGTGACATCGTTCAAGCCCACGCAGAAACCAAAGATCGTCAACTTCTCGAACCGAAGCTTAATGGCAACAGAGTGCTCCGTGCCAGCGTTCGACCAATTGTCCTAGTCGAGGGGATATTCACTCAGGAAATCATGTGGAAATCCCACACAGAAATACTTGGAAATCATTCGAAATCACCAAAACGTTATCAGAATTTTAAAGCCATCACTTGTTACCGAATCGCATTGTTGTCGCATTGTGAAGAAGGAAATCGTTTTCCCTGATTTCCAAGTGAACAACCCCTCGGTCCAGGTTCTCCAAAGAAACCTCTTTAAAGAAACATATAAATAATATTCACCCTCCCGGCAATGGCATTATCCAAATCCATCGATCCCGATTTAATGCTTCATTTTGTCGACGTCACGAGAACGTCTATTTCGACGCGGCGTAAAAATTGATTTTTTTCCAGAACGGAACAATTCCAGCCGAGATTGTTTCCATTCCGGATATTTGACGCGGGTTTGAAAACAATGCGCTAGCAAATAAATGTGTTAAAAAAATATATATATGAATAATATGCATGGTCCCTTGTGTGTGTTATACATATGTGGCTGATGTGACTTCCTACCGATTAAGCAACCTAAAGAAGTTAAATTGCTCTCATTCACTGGGCAGAGTAGATGCCATTCATGCCTAATGTACGCCGTATAAACTAGGTATAACACGACTCAACAACTCGGGCGGTCGACCGACCAGCAGACCAGCAGACCGGGTGCCCATCGAACAGACCGATGGACGGACACCGCACCGGCCATCCACTTCTTAATTACCGATCTTAAGTCGTTCTTAATCGCGCTTAATTCGCCACTTCGGTGCATTAACGGCCCTCGTTTCCCTCGTTAGCGTGACGCTCGCCGAGGAGTCGCCCGAAAACAGGAACGATTAATAAATGAAATAATGGAATGGATTTCGGCGCAGAAATGACAGGAACCGATCTGGAGAGTTCAACGCCGAGGTCAACTACGCGGAGAAAAATGAGAGCCTTAAACTTATAGAAGCCTATCCGTTGGGAATTGTTATTCACCATACGGTTAAATCTGTCCCATTCATGGATTAATCCAGTTAATTTTACATTCTTACATGTACCTTTTAGCGGAAACATTTCTGTAAAAGTCAGCTGTAAGGCGGGGCTGAAAGTGTTACGGAAGAAATCTGTAGATTTAATAGATTAACTACCAAATATTTAAATGTAATTGTTATAGATGTTTACCTGTTATTTTACGGGTTTGAGTAATTGAAACTTTATCGTAATGCTAGCGGAAATGATCTGCTGTTTTTCTTTCAACTGAAAAAATCTATACATTTTGCAGATTGATCTGTAAATTTATCCGATTCTTTTTTCCCCGTGTATAGGACGCCATCTTTACGTTTAAGTTCGGAGAACGCTTGACGAAGTCCTGAATAAGAATTGTTTTTAAAACGTTCGACTATTCTTCGATTATGTCGTTTCGATTATTCTGGATCGATAGATTTTTTTTACGAGCAACCCGTAGGTGTTGCGGGAAGGAAAAGCTCGATCGAGTGGAGGCCCCGAAACTTACGGCGTGCTTTTCCGAAGCCGCTCGTTCGGTTAATTTACGAGCTTTCGTGACTTTTTAGCCGACTTCACCGAATCTTCCGTCGATCGAACGAGACGCCGTTCCTTTTATTACCTCCGGAACAGCCGGAAATCTACCGAGAAAGGATTTCGGAAAATGTCGACCTTGCTCCCGGGGGATTTTTCGGATATTGTTAAACCGTGGATATATCGCATCTGATTTTTCTTTCGATATTAAAGGAAACGTTAAATATCTGTTCAGGATTTAAATAATTCAAGGATACTTTAGTTCAGAATAAAATCGACTGTAAAGCTTTAAGGTGGGGAGCTGAACGTACAACCATGACCCTTGCATCCCTAAGCGTGTGGCGTCTCTAGCGGTCATTCTATTCACTATACAAAGTCCCTCGATAACGCGACAACCTCTCCAAGAAGTCAATTAACCATCCCTAAAAACGATGTATCGGCGATATCGAAAAAATTACAATTTATCTCAGTAATGTCGAAGTCGGAGAGAAACGATCCAACCTTTGCGGGAGGGATTTACCATGGAAAGAAATTGCGCGAAAATCACGTAACCTCGGCATTCAAACCGTTTACGCAATAATTCTCCGAGTATTAGATTTCATATTCCGTTTATCGCGGCAATTACATTAAAGCGAAACATAAGCGTTATTCCTGCCCCTGGCTTTCCTTAGCAGGGGTTCAAATTCCCTCATTTGTCGTTCCTTATAATTTTTCTGCAAGACAGGTCACCTTGATATTACCGTAAATTAAATACCGAGGCTCAATTAATTTTCTGAGGAATATTTCAGAAAGGTGGATGTGACTGAAGGCAAAATTTGTACAACTTTCGAGGAGCGCGCTCAATTGGAAACTTTCAAGTACCGCTGCTATTTATTTGTTCTTTCATCGATACGAGTTCCGGAATCCATCGAACCGATCGACTCGGCCAAGAGAGAAAAGTCAAAGTCAATTAAAAGCACAGTCGCGGTCGAGTCAGTCGAGATATCTTAAAACTGCTCGAACTGGGTCAGCTAGAGATGAGAACCCGAGGACCCTTGTATTTTTTAATGCCACTGCGGTGAAAACATTTGGAACTGTAATTGAATTTCTCTACATCATAAACCGAGCTGGAAAATTAAATCCCGGTCTTGCCAAAAAAACTCCCCCATAAAAAACCTCGCAAATATAGGCATAAATTCCGTGTAATTACCCCGTGAGAAAAATCTCATTAGATCAAAGAAATATTTTAATCATTTCAGGGATAATTATTCGATTCCAATAAATTCTGACTAATTGGATGCAACATTTCCTCGGAATTACGAGAGAATTTATTTCAGTCAAATCATTGTTCCTCGAATTAACCAAATGTTTCTTTGGTACCGTTCAAGGAAATATATCCGCGGTTCAATGAATGTTTTTTTTTTTCTCGGGGTATAATCAAAGAATTTCCAGTTAATTTCGGTATCGTCGCTGGTTCACTCGATGCTTGCAAACGGTAATTGTTCGCGCCTCATTCCTAAGATTAACCGAGTTTGTGCAGTTTGCCGGAAGGGAAAGGGAGGAAAAAAAGGGCCGCGGAAAGAACGGGAAAACGAATGAAAGGCACGACGTCTTAAACCTGGAGAAACTGGGTCGGCGGTTTCCCTTTGACGAGGATTCGATTCCTCCGATCTCGCTTTTTCCGCTCATTTTTCCCGGGTAGTCTTCGCGGGGGGTCTCTCGCGACAGCTTTTCCGCGAGTATTCCGCACTTTATTCGGACTCGCCGAAAGGAGGTCGTCCTCTGAGTGCACGGTATCGTTTAGAAAATGAAAATCCGGCCTTTTCGACGGCAACCCGATCGAAAGGGTCCACTCGCGGAGCACACAGGGAATATTAGTGAAAATGACCGGTTTCCTGCCAGGCCCTGCAACGTCGAGTCGGGATCGTCGGATTCCTGCCCGGGGAAAAAAAAAAAAAAACACTTGCACTTCCAGCAAAGGACGGCATTGTTACTAAAATTTTAGCTCTTACTGTAGAAATAATCGCAGCAACAACGAACACGTTAACGCAGATATATGGAACCGTAGGTGTAACCATCGGAGAGCTCCCTTTAGAGAAAATCCTTGATAAACTAGCAATTGAATTTATTTCAACGGCCAAGAAAAATGTTGTCATTCCTCTTGAAGCGAGCGAGCGATAAACAATTTGTTGTCGCTAGAAAGGAACATTACAATCCCATGTATAATGGTACCGATGTAACGAAAATGTTTCGGGGGATGCTTTCGCTGGGCCATTTGTTGCAAGTGAAATCCCTTGTTATGACTATGAATTTTTTTTCCCGGAGTGGACGTTTCGACGCAGTCTCGAAAGTCCGACCCGGAGAAGAGCGAGATCAACGAGAGGAGACGGGAAAAACGCCCCTAACTGGGTGGAAAAAATTTTTCAGGGTTTTCCTGGATTTCTTGGGGAGTTGGTGGGCACCTGCCCCGGAGTCCTGGAGCCCTTTTCGGTGGACCTCGGTAACTCGCGACCAGCCTCGACTCACATCACCTCCGGAGATCCGAGAATCCGGCCCGAACACACTTAGCGGCCGACTTTAACGACGAAATTAGCCCTAACTCACTGGGCGTACTTTAACCCGACTTCCGCTCGACGAAACCTCGGGCCCGGCTGAAATCGCGGCTTTTCGATACCCGGGAAAAAGCTTCTCCACCAACCTCCTCCTAGGTCAGACGTATCCATGTTGTCAATCCCGTTGTCACACACATACTACATTAACAACTACTCCGAAGTCCGACATCGTTTGTTGAATCGCACGCCCCTCCCGAGTCGCGATCTAGTCGCGCCCGTGCTCGATCCTACGAAATACATTTACGGCCCAATAACGGACGCGCCTCTTTTACGCCACACCATGGAATAACGTTCACGGTTCACGGTTTTTCACCGTTTATTTGCACCGGATGCGGTTGGTCCTTTTTTAACTCGGCGAGCTCGGTACTTGGCGCGCGGACTCTACCTCGAGATATTCTTCGTATCCCCGTTCCTTCGCTATGTGGTCGCTACAAGGAAAGGAGACAAAGTCAATTTTGGGACGATTTCGGATTAATGGGATTTTTTCTCGAGGGGGATTCCGAGGCCGACTCGATCCTACACTGAGAAAAAAAATTCAATGCACCAAAGAAATATTTCTTTGACTAGTACCAATGACATTTTTTTTTTTCTCCGTCTATAAAATACATTTATGGTCCAAAACGTTCATGGTTCGCGGTTTTTCACCGTTTATTTGCCTCGGATGAACTTGGACTCTTTTTTAACTCGGCGAGGTCGGTACTTCGCGCGCGGACTCTACTTCGAGATTTTCTTTGTATTTCCGTTCCTTCGCTAGGGGGGTGGTATAAGGAAAGGAGACTAACTCAATTTCTGACGCTTTCGGATTAACGCGATTTTTTTTCTAGGCCGGAATTGCACGAGGTGCAAGCTCCGATGAAAAACGACGTCCTTGGGCACGCTGTACGTGTCCTGAAAAGTTACGGCTCGATCGACGCGATTATGAATGGATTTCAGGGAAACTCCGCCATTATGGCACTCGCGTGCAGCAACTGGGTCACCGAACGCGATTAATGCGTCGGATTAATTTAAAACGATCGGACGAGAACGAAGTGCTCGAAATCGAAGATCCAAGGGATCGCTTTTGAGGACGATTAATGGAACGCGAACGAAAGCTCTGCTTGCGAGTAATTAATTAATAACGTTTCTTCGGGATGATGACAATTTATTTGAGTATATTCATTGAATTAAGAAAATATGTCTGGTCCAATTTGAGTTTTTTCTCGGTGTGCCTTAATGAAAAATAAAAATTCAGCAGCCAAGAACTCTGCCGGATCGAGCATCGATACGAACTTGACAGGACTTGGACTCTCCTCGGCTTTACGTTTCATATTATTTTCCCACGAGATAAATGGATTTACCCTTTCTAAACATTACGGCGTCTCTCGTAAACTTTCCACGGAAGCATCCAGGAAAAAACCCTGATTAACGGATGGACACCGGCGCCGAGTTTACCGGGGCAATTCACGTCACACCTACAACATTTTCGAGATTATCTCGATTCTACGTAGACGATGTCAAGTGCGTCGAAGCTTTCCTCGAGTTGCATTAAATTACAGACAGGGGAATAAAAAGAAACACGAAAATCCGAGTCAGAGGGTAATTTTTAAAAGGAAACGCGACAGTCTTCGCAGCCAGAAAATTGGTTCCGAATTTTTGTCCCTCCATAAAGAGTGTTGAAAAAAAATAAAAATGAATTTATTAACCGATCCGAAATGCTTCTAGGCGGATTTTGCAAATTCCCCGGTCTTATTAATTTATTAATAAAGTGTCCATCCATGTCCGGCGTCAGATGGCAAAATTTTCCAACTTCCGTCCAGTCGGAAAAATAGTTTGCTCCCACGGTATCTTATCAGGACGATAAATTCTCATTCTAACGTATTACTGTCAGAGTATCGACTCGATCTGCACCAGTATCGAGGAAATCCTCGAACGCGAAGGAGCAAGGCTCTTATTTGGAAACAGAAGTCGATTTCGACGGTTCCCTTTTGTTTCTTTTTCTGCCGAAATGGCCAGAAGGCACAGACACTTGATCGGGTACAGAATTCTTCTGGTACTCGTCATACCGACGATGTACTTTCTTTGTGTAAGCGTAGCTGGCCTTTTTTCAAGTGACGTAGGGGGCGGACGAAATCTGCAAAGTATACGTGAGTATAAATCCTAGTTACAACATTTTCAGCCGTGGAATTTAACGAAGCTTTAAAAAGAAATCATAAAAAGCAGATATCGGTGGAATAACTCCAGGGCTCCACTTTGGCCCATTTTTCTCGATTTAAGGCGTAAGAAAAGTTCGGCCGTAACAATTCCAGTCGTATCGTTCACACTTTGTACAGAGACCTGGTTACGTGGATCGATCATACACGTAACAACTCGAGACATTGACCATAAGTCGCGATCGATTGCACGGTACTCAAAGTTAGCACAAGGTAACCAAGATAACTGCAACTCCGCCGTGGAACGCTTTCGATTGTTTTTACAATTATATTTTTATGTCAATGTCATTGTTCCAGGATTAAGGAAAATTTTGGGAATCGAGACGAATACGGAGACAACGATAAACTGCACTTCGCCGGCTGTTAATGAATTTCCGCCGGACGGGTTGACTCGGCAACAAAGACAATCTGGTTTTGTTGCAATACACGTTATCATCGTCACGTACCTTTTTCTGGTACTAGCGATTGTTTGCGACGACTATTTCATACCTTCGATCAAAATGATCTGCGAAAGTGAGTGTTAGTCAATGGGGAATTATTTTCTTAATAATAAAACGCGTGGGTTGCAAAATGGCCGATTATCAGGATTAATTGAAAAAGGTTCGGAGGTGTAGTAAAGTCTATTCAGTGCCACTGGTAATTAGGGGTATTCACGGTGTCCTGGGGTTTTTTTGAGCAGTTTCTTTACGCGGGGTACAAATTCCTGTTTTAGAGCTTAATGTTGCAAAAGACGTCGCCGGGGCGACTTTAATGGCTGCCGCAACCTCCAGTCCGGAATTATTCATCAATGTCGTCGGAACTTTTGTTACGGAAGGCGACCTGGGAGTTGGAACAATAGTCGGTTCCGCAGTATTTAATATTCTCGCAGTACCTGCTTGTTGCGGATTGTTCGCCAGCCAGGTATTATCCCCGATATCGAGCACTACAATACAGCGCTCTCGACTTTACGTCGAAAGAATGTTGAAAAATCTCGAAGATTAACGTTTCTAGGTCTTGGAGCTGGAATGGTGGCCAGTGAGCAGGGATTCCCTGTGTTATGGAATCACCGTAGGATTATTAATAGTGACCCTAAAAGACGGACGCGTGGAATGGTACGAAGCCCTCGTTCTCGTCGTCGCCTACGTTCTCTACATTCTTGGTAAGCCACGATTTTCGAAATTCCAAAATGGCCCTTCACTCGTCCTCGAACTACCTCTAGGGTCTCTGACAATTGCATTCTATTGACCCCGTCATAAGTTAGTCATGGATTGATAAGATTAATACCGATAAACAGAGATAATTCATTTTGGCCGAAAGGGATTCAAGGAATGCACCGAACGTATCACCGAACATTTCACTCGTGCCGGTGATAAAACCGTTTACTGACAGAGAGATGCTTTTCTTACAGCCATGGCCTTCAACGAGCGGATAAGTAATTTCATGAACTGGGCGCTGGCGAGGAGAAGAAAGTACAAAAATCTGAGCGAGGAAAGTCCTCTCGTTCCTAAAAGTAAGAGTCCTTGTCGACAACCGGGGAAAATGGTTCCTCCTACATCTGCAAATTGAAATGATTCCGTCGTTACTAATTAATTAAACAAATTTATTGTTCAGATCTCAACAAAGAGAAGAACGTCCACTCTTTCGAGCTCAGCGACGACGATTCAGGTAAATATTTAAATCGGTTGCTCTCCACTGCACAGTTTCATTGGAAAAATTCGACCATCTCATTCTTAGTGAAATAAGTCTAATGGAATTATGGAACGTTTCCAGTGGAGATCGTAAATATGACTCAATGGCCGAATTCGAAATTGGAGAGGATTTGGTGGCTCCTTACTTGGCCGATCAATCTCGTTCTTCTCGTGACGGTTCCCGACTGCAGACGGAAGTCTCTTAGATCTTGGTACCCTCTCACATTTATTATGTGCATCGTCTGGATAGCGTTAATATCCTACGTCGTCGCCTGGATCATCACCATAATAGGTGAGCGCCGAGGCCGCCCCTTCCTTAACGAATTTAAACGATAAATTATTTAAGAACTTAATGCTGATAAATATTTAATAGGCGACACCCTCACCATTCCCGACTCCGTGATGGGACTGACATTCCTAGCAGCTGGGATGAGCGTTCCCGAAGCGGTTTCAAGCGTTATTGTCACCAATCACGGTAATATTCCATTGATGTCCCCAAAACAGCATCTAAAAAAGAATTCTAATGAGGAATCTTTCCTTATAATTTCAGGACACGGCACTATGGGCATCAGTAACTCGATAGGGTCGAACATCTTCGACGTGTTGCTGTGTCTGGGATTACCCTGGTTCATCAAATCTGCCTTCCTGCCGAAAACTCCAGGACTGTATTCCGTGAAAATTAATTCAGAGGGTTTGGTGTACAGCTCGGTCTCGTTGCTCTCCACGTTGCTTCTATTGTACTTAATGCTGTTCATCAACAAATTCAAGCTGGACCGCAAAGTCGGATTCCAGTGCTTGACGATGTACGGGATCTTCTTGATCCTGGCATCTCTCATCGAGCTCAACATCTTCTTCGTAGTCAACATGCCTACTTGTGTTCATTAGCTTGTACTCGTAGATGGATATTCTGAAAAGGAAAGCGTAACGAGTACTCGCTGATATTTGTATATAGAGAGAGACGGAATTCTACATATGTATATATATACATATATTCCTCTCGTGTAAATATTCTTTTCCGATTTTTAATAGAAGTTTTAAATGTGTAAATCGTTATTTTTTTTTTTTTATTTCCACGGTGTAAACTGTTAACATTTCATATAATTGATTGAATCATAAGGAAATTGTCATATCGTTATCCCCTTTACGACGCAGTAGCGTCGTTCTACGTTATTTGAAAATTTGGACAAATTAAATAAATGCAAGTGAAATTACTTAGAATAGAAGAGAGCGATTGGTTTGGGTTGCTTGTTTTTCATTGGTCGTTTCCAGAAGACCTAGTCAATGATAGTCTTCCGTTTGGACGTTTTCACGTGGTTGGAAGATCCATGAGAAAATTCCTATTAGGATGTTACGTTCCTAAAAACGTAGATTAATCAATCGACCTCGGTGTATGACCAGAAACAATATTCACGTTGTTCCACCATGGTTCCATAGAAACCATTGTCCCTGACTACGTTTCCATCGTACTCCTAAATCCGGGATTTATCCGGATCCAGTTAACCGCATGTCTCCATCGCATTAATTTAGTACGTAGTTCGACTCATGAGAGAGCGCTGAAGACCGTACACGCAACAATACCCTGCGGTCTTATGGGACCTCTCGGTCTATCTAATAGTTTTTGATACTTCAGACCATTGTAACAAGTAGGCAAGTAGCGTACAGTATCGTATAACCAAGTTTGATGGGTCGAAGATCTGGTGCAACAAAACGACTTCAGTAAAAACTCAAAAGTTATTAAAAGCCTAAATCATTCGTTATTTAGCGACAATGAAGGAACTCGTTTGGGGAATCAAAAATGGCGATCTTGATCAGGTTCGAGATATCGTCGAGAACAAGGTACTATGAGATTAGACATTTTTAATACGAAGGGTGTTGAATTGACTATTGCATTTAAAGTATTAATTGCTTCTCTTTTAAATTATGGTCAGTATTCTTTATTACGAGATGTTGATGTTTAAACTTATCCGACTAAGTAACCATTCGCTGCAATTGTACACACCTGTCACTTGTCGGATCTTCACTATACCTATATGAGCATTTACTACAGTTATTACAAGGAGTGGTGGTGTCACGGAGTGCCCAAGAATTACTTAAATTTCTGTGGAAATCTAGACTTACTCTAATACTTTCAAACCCAAAGAGGACGTATTTAACTTAAACCTATATTAAGTATTTATAACATTTTGTATATATAATTACAGAATATTGACGTCAATCAAATGATCGAAGGGCGGATGCCGTTACACTATGCCGCAGATTATGGCCAAGGTGAAGTCGTCAGATACCTTTTGGAGAAAGGCGCTGACGCTAATGTAAGTCAATTTTCTTTTTGAAATGTCATGTTACGAAAGAAGGTATTGTCTTTTTTAATTCACGATGTAATTATATATATAGGCAATGGATAAACATGGAATAACGACTCTATTAGCAGCAATTTGGGAGGGGCACACAAATTGCGTTAAAATTCTGTTAGAGAAGGGAGCTAAGCCAGATGGAATGACGCCTGACGGTACAAGTTACATCGATGCGGCTGAAAAGGATGAGATTAAGCAACTCTTGAAGGCTCACTAGCACAAAACCAAATAACTTGCAGAAATGGAAACTTTACTGTTTAGCACTTTAATGTTCCTCATAGAATATTACTGTTGCTTTACTTTTAATTCCTTGCACTCGACTACACTACTATATTTATATACTTTAAATTAAAGTAGATACGCCACGTGCAGTTTTATCATAGTATATTAGTAAGTGTTCATTGAAGATCAAATGTTCGATGCAATATGTGATTCTCCGTTTCTTTTTTTTAATTATGGTAAATGGCTAAAGATATTTCTAGAAAACTTTAATAGTCAACCTGCTGTCTGTTAAAGTCTTGAAAAAGTCAAGAACTTTTTCCTTAAAATATGTTTGCTTTGACCAATTGATAAGATTCCAGTTTTACTTGAATGTGATTTTTATAATTGTCAGTATCATTAAGTGCATTTTAATGTATAATTTGTGCTTATGTTTTTACAAAAAAAAAAACAAATATCTTTTAATCGTTTTAGTTTTCGCGCATTTCGTGAATGCTTTATAAAATAAGAGACAAATGATGTCCATATAATGGTTACAAAAATCAAAAAAACTGTCTTCAAATAGATATATCTGTCAGTATGAACAGAAAATTCAGTACAACTGACTTTTGTAGCTGTAGATTAGCCATGGGATTTTATTGTGGCTACAAATAATGGTATTGGATAATTAGAGTTTTTCCATCTCTTGACTGATTATGACTATAAACACGATAACCAAATCATAGTTCTAAGGTGACTGATAATATTTAGCACAAAACATGTTCGTCATACAAATAATCATTTTGCTCATGTGACATGCATCAAATGCACCAACTTATTCAGTTTTAAAATTGAAATTGTACCGAGAATTCTTTCCCGATTTTCAAATTGCTAAAGTGCCAAGATTATGCTCACACTCAGTCAAGACATTTTTCGTAATGTTTAGTACGAAAAATGCGCAAAATTCTAATATCAAACTAGCCATTGCAAACCTATTTACTGCTGCAGCTCTCGTTTGAGATCAATGTTCATAATAGTAAATAATATATACAGATTGCAATACTGACATGGCATGCTCCCAAGCGTGCATAGCTTAATTAATATACTTTGTATTTTTAATAATAAAAATATTATTCATGCAGGAATTATATTGACAGTGTAGATGCACCTGCCTTTATTGTTAATGAATTCTTTACATCGATATAGTTAATTGTAACGTGTGACTGGAAGTAGATCACCGCGTATATTTACTGTATTGGTGTAAAAAAATATGATCCAAAGATTAAGTAATAGCTCATCAGTATTTTACCTCCCTTAATCCTATTCTAAACACAGTACTTAACCTAGAATTCTACACAAATCTATACATGGACCGGACTCACAAAACACCATATCGTTGAGACTTAAGTCTATAGATTGATTACATTTTTTTAATTCAACAAATCCTACTAGCCAAAGTGAGACACGAAAATGGTGTTATTTTAAATTATTTCAATACAAATGTAGAGAATCAGTCTGCTGTTACATGTCATTGATGAACTGAATTTGATGATACATCGAGAGACTAGTCACAGCACATAATTATACGAATTTTAGAACTTATAATAGACGTCCTCTACAGTTAGACGCGCCACATTTACAAATAATCACTTTGCCTGGAATACTGCCTACATCGTAACTATAATTCCATGTTAGTTCTTGTCCAGCTCTTATATAGTTCAACGCGAAAAATGCTACCCACGGAAATCGAACATCGTGAGTATCTACAAACACATTCTGCACGAAGACATTTGGATCGCACGAGTGCTGTTGAAAAGGATATGAGATATTAATTAAACAATATTTTTTAATTATAGTAGCAGTGAAGTGTGCTTTACTTACATTTAAATAACGCCCAATGTTTCCTGTTGTTTTGGCATCCATAATATATACAGCTTCGTCCTCACCGAAGAAATCTCTCACCGATTTAAATTTTGGTCGTTCAAGCTGTGCTGGCTCGACAGTTGGATCAAATCGACTAGGCTGTTTTAAGTTGTTTCTTGAATCGTCCTCGTCACTTATGGTTACTAAATCAAAATCTATACTGCGTCCATCATGAGTTGATGATTTTAATGATACATTTTCAGAATCCTTCGTTGTACTACTGTCTTCGCTAGGTTCTTCTTCTGCCCCCGGAGTCTCGTCCCCTTTCTTTCGCTTTCTTAATCGTCGTCTAGAAGAAATTACTGTTTAATGTCTTGGTCACATGTTAATATCCAAATTATATGCCATTTATATTGTAATTAATTTATTACCTTATCGATGTTCCATCTACATTAACACTAATGTGTTTGCCAACAGCAAAGTCTTCATCAGAATCATTTGTATGCCGTTTTACACCATCTTCTTCGTCGCTAGGAATCATTAATCTCTTGTCATCTTGCGTTGTTCCTAATGGTAATTCAGGATCCAAGACATCACTTTCGTAGCCTTCTTTAATGCCTTCGACAACCTCTACGTAATCTAATTCTGCAAGATACTCATCACCGTAGTTTTTGCCACCTTCGTTGGCACCCTTTATTAAAACAAAAAATAAAACTTAGGTTCATACAGCGAGAACATGTATTTTCAATTTGTTTCTCGAAAATTATCTAAGTATATCGAACCTGTTCTGTTAATAATCTTCCAGCATAGATGCAAATGAACGAGCCTAGGGGAATATCATTCAGGCATCTTATACCCCAGCCTCTCGGAGCTGTTTTAAATACTTGTAACTTCAGAGTAAGAGGATGCTGTACCACTCGATTGAGACAAGTCTTCACGGCGCATTTACAACGTGAATTACACTCGTAAATACCTGTAGTAACTGGCTCTGGTAAACGTTTGTACACATACCCAACGGCATTGTTAGGCACACGGCCCCCTAAGGTTGCACCTTGAATCGTTAACTGCCAACACTGACATTTTGTTTTGTCCTGAACATATAAAGTTACCGTCAGTATGTAGTTCTATTCTGAGTAATAGTTAATTTTTCACATACCTGACAGTCATCTTCGCAATCACAACTGCAGAGAAATTCAGGATCTAGATTTAGCTTCACTCCTTCCGTCGGTTCTCTCTTTGTGCTGTACCTAATTGTATCCGGTAATGCATGATCGAGTTCATTCACACAAGGTATCGGGACATTCTCGACACCATAACTAAGATCCTTTTTACATAAAACATACATTGTGTCAACTTCTCACACTTTAAATCCACACATTTCTATTATAATTTAAAAAAATGTATAGATATGTAAGCAACTTACCTTAATGTTGACGAAGCACTTATCCAAAACGAATTCAGCTAAGCAATGTACCCAATGATCGAAGTCAAATAAGTCTACCGACATGGGGCTGCCTGTTACTTGAAGATAGTGATGCAGTTCTTCCATGTTTCGCAATCTTACTCCACACGGAGCTTGGTATAAAGTGACTTTCTTAGTTTTTGGGAACTTACAGAGCTGGCGATTCCAGCCACAAAGTAATGGGATCGAAAGAGGCGAATATCCTTTAAGATCGTCAGGAGTGAACGATATTCCTTGGACACACTTAGGTCCGCATTTGTGAGGAACGAATTTCTTTGTCTGAATTTTATTTTGTGTCTGATAATACTGTAATAAAAAAAACAACTTATGTATACATTTGCATAAAATCAGTTTCGTGTCATTACTATAACATAAATTAATACTTACGACAATACTGTGCGATGGTTTCGTTTCAGCTGTGTTATTATAAGTACTCTCAACACCTTGTCTTTTACTTGTACTCTTTTTAGCAACTGCTCTAGTTTGTGACGTACCAGAAGTTACTGGAGTTCCCGATGTCGTAGTTATTGTTGTAACACTTGCTGCTGGTGGTATTTCTGCAGTCTTTTGTATCTCTTCTTCAGGTTCCGCATTAAAGGAAGTATATTCGACATAAGGCATGTTACTTTTCTGAAAATGTAAAATAATATTAAGATCAATAAACATGCTCTATTAACAAATTTCGAAGTTCTGTCAGATTTAATAATTTTAAAAAATCTGTACTGTACATTAGAACTGGCAGGATGTCGATGACGACTGGGAGTATTAACAGGAAGATGATGTCCATGTTGTCTTGAGTTAGCTTTTAACAACTCAAGATACAAAGGACCTAAACGAGCCGAGCCTCTGTAAATCCATTCCGTTCTTCCATCTGCATCGAAATGCATTTGTACCAAGCTCGCATCTACTCGCACCACCCTTGCGATCCACCACTTCCCATTCCATTCGGTTTTTACGATCTGCCCAGGTTGCAGTTTGACCATTGGTCTCTCTGGGTACGATTCCATGTATTTCTTGACAAAATCACGAGATTCATTTGGAATGTCTTCCCAGACTGGATTCGAGCTTTCACTAACTAAATAGATGTACTTATGGTCTACATACTGAGCATAACCATCGTCAAAGAATACCAAGTATCTGAAAACAAATTATACTTAATATCTGTATGACAATTATTTGTATTATCTATTGTCATAATTTACCTGTACTTGTTCGTTGACTTTGGTGGTTCGGCTATTACGCCGCTGTAAAAGTTGCCAAAAGTGGCCTCTTGGAAAACAGCCACTACACGAGTGGCAACAGGTATAATTACTTTGCTAGGAACTGCTAAAGCTACTTGTTTCCCAAAGATGGATTTAACTACACCATTGTACTTCTTTGGAAGCAATTTGATACGATAATGTAAAGGGCATAAAGATTCCACCCTTTGCACCTATTAATAAATCAAAAGTGTTTATAAATCTTTACCAAATGTTTCTTATTATCCAACAAATCCATTTCAACAAACCTTTCCTTTAATCCATGGGGCAAGAGGATGTTTCATAACATATACAATGTTATCAACATCCGGTAACAACCTTTCTAATTTTCCACTTGGTGGCAAATCAATGCCTTGGGTCTGTCTGTTAACTCTTTCTAATGGTAAAACTTCTGGCATACCGTCTTGTGACATTACACCAGGTGCGATACGAACTTGCGTTACTTTTTTGGTTGCAACCAGTGGATAATAGGGATCGTCTACCGATTCGTCAAATATTTGAAGTGCTTCTAATTCTTTAATTTTTGGCTTGAACTCATCATAGAGGTTGTTGCGAAGTACATCAAGTTTGTGCATCATATCTGTTATATCTTTATCTATTTTTTCATTTTCTTCTGTAAAATTATCACATTAATAAAATTAGAAAAATAATTGAAACTTCGAGAAATGTAAATTATATTAAGATCAACTACCGTCTATCCTGTCCCATTGCGATTTCAGCATCTTATGGGCTTCGTCCAGCTGATACTCAACATCACACTTTTTAAATATTGATATCAAGGCATTTCCCATGTGTTCCTCTATATCCAATAATATATTTTCTGACACGTAATTTTCTAAAATGAAATATTACTATAAATCATTACATCGTAAATCTTATACATAGAAAATAAAATCGGGTGGATATCATTTATAAAGAGTACCTTGGTCATTCTCATTTTTCTCGTTATCAGACTCGTCGCTATCTGAAATTTCGACTTTCATCGTATGATCAGGATATGGGCATTGCAATAACGGTTTCCGATCCAGAAACGCTGTAACTAATTTCTAAAACAACAATTATTTTTCATTAAGGTTACATCTAATTCCCAAATTTATATATATGATATGTAATGTTTTTACCTGCTGATGCTCTAAGGCATTATTGAAACACGTTTGACAAATCAAACGCTTCTTCTTTTTCGCTGTATTCACACCGTAAAAAGCACAAGCAAACGAGGGTGCCATTACCATGTCAACTCCGGAACGACATTCAAAATTAATACAATTTGAGTGGCATGGTTTAGACGATTTGTCCTTTTTCTTGGCTTTCTTGATCTCCTCGTCTGAACCCAATTCAATGACATCCGTTTCTTGCACCTGTGCCATTATTGGATTTTCGAGATTTCTAGCCATTTAAAAAGTCAAACTCATGTCAACAGCACAGAAAACAGCTCCATAATTAAATAATGGTAAATCCATGCGGAATATTCTTCGATATATATGTATACATATTAATGTTAAGGCGTCAGGTTAACATTGGGTAAAAAATGCATAAAATTCCCAAGGTACACGCAAACACCGTTTCAAACAGTTTCAAAGATGAGTTGGGAGATTGCTCACGGGCAGGATCGCGCGATTGCGTCCTGTGCTGCCCCCGACGGAGGATGTGGACGGCTAATGCACTTACCGCCCTGAATTCGGTCGTAGCACGTAATACGTCACTCGCCATTCTCTAAACTGATCGCGGCGTCTTATCACGATGGCTTATCGCGACCCTCGCTGGACCCGGCTCCCGGGAGCTGGATCGCGGCCGGGGGTCGCGATAGGGGTAATTCGTTTCTGGCAGAAATAGATTGCGTCGCCACTGAGGGATAACAGGTCGCAAGGACATTATCCGCCCGCACTAATCACCAGAGGGCAGCACAGGACCTGATCGCGCGATCCTGCCCGTGAGCAATCTTCCAACTCATCTCTGATCTCTGTTACTCCGTGGTTCAGCCTTTAGATAGTCTGTGGTGCTCACTCCTCGTTGCTCCTCGTTCAGCTCCCGGCGACTCTACGTTGTACTTTTTATAAGGTAAGATAGGAGGACTTTCTGCAAAAACTTTCAATTCCAACTTTATGCCGCGTCGTTAGGATACATCTTGCATGTTCGAATTAGTCCAAGTGTGGAAGTAGTAATGGCGAAACTAGTAGTGGCGAGCAGTTTAGAAATTCAAGGCTAATAGGTCAGTAATGGCGGAGCAGCATTCCGCGTTTCCTTTTATTCCCGCTGCTCCGCCGGCTTCTAGAAAGAGACACACCTAACATCGAAAACGTGTTCTCGACCTTAAACGGTTTCCGTGTTCTCGTGTCGCGCTTCGAGAGCCTCGTCAATACCGTTCACCTAAGTGACGGTGATTATTTTATTATCTTTAATAATTTACGCAAATCCGCCATTTCCCTTTATATGAAAACTTTCCGCTGTGCGATATAATCGTGAGACGCTAATTCTGGTAGCGATACGAATCTGAGCACTGCCATTTGAATTGTCATTCTTTTATCTCCGCTGAATGTCTTGTGTTTCTTTTACTCGACAAGTGTTCAATTATTAGAATTTGGATATAGGGTGATCTTGACGAGTTCGTGGCTAGACCCGGAAGAATTTTGTTTTAAACGGAGGCAAATAGGGTACGGCAACCTTGTAAATCCAAGCGATATAAAATGAATGAGTTTTAATTTTTTTTCCAGTACGCAATCTCGCTGCAGTCATGGGTCTGCCACGAGTGTTCTTTGACATGACCGCGAATGAAGTACCCGTCGGACGCATCGTCATCGAACTCCGATCCGACGTCGTTCCAAAAACGGCGGAGAATTTCCGTGCCCTGTGCACGGGAGAGAAAGGATTTGGCTATAAAGGCAGTTCTTTCCACCGCATAATTCCTAATTTCATGTGCCAAGGTGGAGACTTCACTAATCACAACGGTACCGGTGGAAAGTCCATCTACGGAGGAAAGTTCCCAGATGAGAACTTCCAGCTTAAGCACACCGGCCCTGGCATTCTTTCCATGGCCAATGCCGGAAAGAATACCAATGGATCCCAATTCTTCATTACCACTGCTAAAACTCCATGGCTCGACGACTTGCACGTCGTATTTGGCCGCGTCGTCGAAGGAATGGATGTGGTTAAAAAGCTAGAAAGCTTTGGAAGTCAAAGTGGAAAGACTTCCGAGAGAATTATCATTGCCAACTGCGGCCAGCTCCAATAAACCCTTTCGATACATAATGCACACAAATTCTTACCTGTAAATGAATTGTTTCTGTACACAAAGCATTTAATGTTCCATTCCTTTATAGATTATGACTTACGTACGATCGACAGTAATATTTTAATTTTTGCAATATTTTGATTCTAGGATTCTTCCACAAAAATTTACATCTAATTTAAAATAAATGGTTATACAAAAAGCAACCATACTTTTGTCAGTACCATCCTCTACAGATTTACAATACGAGTAAATAGTACTACATTTTCCAATACTTACATCAGGTGTGTTACTTTTTTTAATTGTAATAAATTTATGTATCCAATATTTAAGTTTTGTAATTTGTTATGCGCATCCTTGTGTACAAGAATGTCTCGAGTTTTTTCATATGAATATTAATACACCGATGTGTGCTCACTCTTTGATACAATACTACACATAGAATGAGACTAATGCTGTTTTAAAAATGTACGATAAGTGCAGTTAAACATTACATAATTATTTATGCCCAATGGCAACATTCGCTGAGAAAAACGCGTTGAGTAAACTTACTTTTTATTGAAACTCGTATGTAATCACTTGTCGCTAGCTGGGGAAATTCCATGCGCTAGGCATTTAATTTTCAATCTCGAATTTCGATAGGTCGAATCGTTGCAATTCCAGATACGAATAGAAAGACTTTTTGCGATTACGATTCTGTGCTGCCACCATGCTGAGGCAACTCGCACTTTTCTTCGTTATTACAAAAACCAGAGATGGGCAAAAACCTAATTCTTGTCAACTGATTCCTAAATAAAAATGAACTCTGTTGGATTGATTTCTTATCGAATCTATCAGTTACCAGTGAACTGGTAGACGTTGATTTTGAAATAAGTTAGTCGTTTGTGAGAACTCGACGTGAGACATCTCTATCGCGTAAATTGCCGCTTGGGCCATCTCCCAATCCCAACTCGTTCTTTGTTCCGATCGCGGACTCCATATTGTTAAGATGTCCGACGGCAGCTTCCTTCGGTTGCTTCATATCAGGTTTCAAAATGCAGAAGTGGGGACTACGCGCACCAGTCGCTGTACCAGTATGGATTGTTGACTGTTGTTGACTGTATACTTTGCTCCGCTCCATCCACCACCAATGGTTTTTAATCTCTGAACGTGGTTATACCACGTTATGTACGCTCTACTCAAGTTTGAGAAACGACGTGCATCACGATGCGCGTTTCATAACATTCCGATCTCAGTGGACGGATCGAGAAGTATGCTGAAATATAATGCGGCAGAATGATATATTTTCCGGCATTTTTTCTCATTTTATCGTGGTTCGGGAGCAGACTGCAGGGTAAGTTACAATTTTCTTATTAACGACTCCGAAGGCGACCTTGGCCTTGGTCTAGATTAGGTGTTTCCTTTTGATATTGTTGGTACCGAGAGTGGAATATGATTAGGGTTCGAGATTTTGGGTAACTTTGTAAACAGTTAAAAGGATCTTCTTCAGGTTCCAATATCAATAATACTCTAACGTCATGGACTGGTGGACCACGTGCCAAACTGGAGGTATGGCCTCAGATCGTAAATGGAGACGGACAGAAATTGATGCTACGTAGGAAAAATGAACCCTTGAACATGACCTGTACAGCGGTTTATCAGAGCGGTGAAAAAAATAATGAACTTTTATCCGATTACATAGTCGACTGGAAAGTGCCTTTTCATGTAAATAATCGGTGAGTAACGTGACGAAATATTTCATTATTTCCATGAGTCCAAATCATTTCATATGGATGGACTTCTAGCGGAACCAAAATGGAACGTGGTCAGGGTCCTAATGTGGCGTGGCTGTGGTTTGAAAGGCTGGCCGAGAAAGATGCAGGAGATTACAGATGTATGGCAGTTTCTGTAAATTCCCAGAAGCAGCAGACATTGTCCTTAAATATTCATCTAACCGTTAAACATAGTAAGTCCTTTCTGCATATTAATTCATTTTTAACAATTTCGTTAGGACTTTGTTCTCGATACAATGCGATATCTCGTTCCAGAGATTATGTACTGTGATCCTCGATGGTTCAAATGTCACTCATCCATTTGTATAATGCCACGATTCATGTGCGACGGTAAACGGGATTGCGAAGACGGAGAGGACGAAAGTATGGCAGCGGGCTGTGGTCCAGACCCTTGCGTCGGAAAAATATACTGTGACGAAAGATGCATCCCACCTGACTGGTGCTGCGATCAACATAATTGTAGCGCGAATTCACAGTTAGCACGTCCAGAACCTCCTACCATACATCCACGTTTCGGAGACATGAGCTTTTTACAGACGACTATGTTTACGATCATTGGTGGGTACAAATAAACACATATTACCTATCGAGATATTTTTCATTTTAACGTTACAGAGATCATATTCTTATATTATCCATTACAGGTTGCGCAATGGCCTTTATGTTCATAGTGACTATATTAATGATAGCCATATGCAGAGTTCAGATGAAAAGGGCTATGAATTCTAGATGCTCGCAGCCGATGAACATGACTTATTCGAGACCACATCACGCAACACCACTATATGACCTCGACGTTTATTTGAATAGAACCATGGATATCAATAACCCAGGCGGTATGCTTTTATTTTCTTTACTACTTTTCCTTTAGTTAAGTCCTCTGGACATAATAATGACATCGATGCTGCTGGTCTTTCAAAATGATAACGTATGATTTTATTGGGAAATGTTATGGTTTTAGGAGTGAATGTCATGTACAACATCAACAGCGGAGTACAATTTGTGGGACAACCAGTCGAGCCTCCACCTTATTCAGAAGTCGTGTTTGTCCCTCCTCGAGAAGGTCCACCTCCACCATACATGTCCTACGATAATCTCTTAGAATTGCCCACGGTTCAAGGTGTTTCACCTGTAACTGGTTCTAACATACCTCTACACGATAATCTCGAAGCGTTGGCTCTTAATCACGCTGTAAACAACGAAGGCGTTGAATTAACGGATACAGGTATTCGTAGGTTTCAGAGTAACATAGACGCCGGAAACATTCGCGGTTTTACGGCCGGCCAAGTGCCAGAGCCTCAAATTCAACACGGTTTAGGGATATTTAGCTTTAACTTAGACGATACCGATGGCACCTCGAGCACTGGCTTCAATACATCTCGAAACGACGCTTTGAACAGGTGCGGTGCCGCATCCGATCGTTCAGGATCGGTCGGTAGTTTTACGCCCACCAGGGATGTAATTTTAAGTACGCGGAATTACGAGCCGGAATACGTGGAGACGGACGCACTGCTGATAGAAAATCGCTCTGCGAACGGAACTCCACGGGCAATGGACGGAAAATCCGCGGAAAATCGTGCGGCTCAGGAAAGCCGCAGGCGGAAGCAGGACCAACGCAGGTCTCTTTGGTACTGGTCCTCCATCGACAGAAGTCGCTTGGCAGGGACCGAAAACCATAGCAGAGGTCGTTATTTGGCAAACTCGGAGAACGAAGGCATTTTCCTAGAAACCGAACCTCACGATTCTGGTACATCGGACAATGCCTACGGTCAGCATCCCGAGGTAGCCGCCACTTCCTCGTTTTCTCCGGATGCCAATCTGGCGAGCAACTCGAAAGGGTCAGACGCGAAGTCCAAGGTAGAGGCTACTAGTACTTCCAGATTACTTTCCGGCCAGAATCCTGCGAAAGATTCGGCCAAGTCCGAGAAGGACGCGAAGAGGTCCAATGCGGAGACTGGAGTTACCGTTGTGGATACTTCTGTACAAACGCTGAAATGCCTGGATGATACTGCGAGCTGCAGTACCATCGGAGATATTTCTACCAGTCAGGAAAGCTTCGGTATTGGGAACGATTTCACCTCGTGCCGGGTTCAGAGTCATAGTTGTATAAAAGGGGACGAAGGTGGCAATCTCTTGCCGCGTACCATTGATAATCACAGATGCGTCGATTCCTTGGACTTGTCTACCGGAAATGGCAATGCGAGTGCTCGCGATTGCGAGCCTGGTGGATCAGCGTGCGAAGCTCAACGTTTATTGTTGCCGTTGAGGGAGTCTTTCATCGGGGTGCGAAAAGAGACGTGAATTAACGCCGTTTAAGGATCTTCCTGCTCTTCCACGTGGAGTGTAAAATGTCAAACACGCAGGGACCCGATTCGCAAGTTCATACGATCAACTTTCGTATAAGACTCAAATGTCGACCAATGACGCGACTTCCCAACGATGAAAAATTTTTCATGCGGATCTGTTTGTGCTAAAAAAAATCCGTATGAACTCGAGAATCGATTGAGTACGTATTTTTACGTATGGCGATCCGGCTCGGCGGGAATAGATTTGCTGGAGTAGAGATGAATCTTGCTTCCTATGATATTATTTACCGATATTATAAGAGTGCATGCAAAAGTGCCCCGATAGAGCTACTTTTCTCGGCGATGCTTGCATCAGGAAAATCCGGGAATATTCGTAGCCGCTCTTCTCGGGTAGCGTTTACACGTACATTGCGTAATAGTTACTTTAAGTAAGGAGTAGGAGATACCATATTGGTAGCGAATACGGCCATTCATTGTATTTAATAAGTACAATACTTAAACCGATTGTAGCTAAACACGCGCGCGTAGCTGAGTTAGGGCAACGATATCTCTCTCTCTCGAGGTCGTTAAATCCAAACTACTTCTAATTCTCCTGACGTTCAAATTTTTATGCAAATTAAGGTATCGCCTAATAGTACGAATCTTATAAGACATTTATTACACGTCCTCGCCGACGTCTTTATCAGCCAGTCTTGCTAAATCGGATCTATGATCGGGTAGACTATCTTATACTTCTATACATTAATATCTATCTCCATAAGAAAGGGAAGAATGACATAATAACGTGCGTACTTAGTAGGTTCGAGCACATATCAAATATAGATTTTGCCTTCGAGGCACTTACCACCGGTGCCTGCATAGAGATCTCAAGACGGGCATTTGCTTACAGAAAGAAAAGGAAAAAAAAAAAGAGAAAAAGGACCGGTGCGAGATGATTTCGATGATGGCCAATCAGTAGATAATAGGTACGCTTAAAATAACGCAGAAGTACGCGAAGGTCCTAATAGGCCATAGGTCCGTAGACACCGAAAAGATTTATGAATATCATGTTGTTCTTCCTTTTTTTTCTTTTCTTTACACGAGAAAGGCCTCTGCGAGCCTTCCATGATTACGGAGTCGTTTGCGTAAATTAACCCGTTACCATTACGTGGACCACTCTGTACGCGAAATATTTTATTAGATATCTATTACTCGTGTAGCATCCTGACCGAATGTACATAAATTGCGTGTACATATTTATTCCATCGAGAATGAGCAGACCTTCTAAGGGTTTTTTTATCGACCTGTTTTCAGGTTTAGGAGACTCGTGTATATAATATACGTATGATTTACTCGTCACGTGGAACGTTGTTTAGACGTTATATTATTATAATAGGCGCCGATTGTATCCTAGACAATAACGTTTAGGGTTGACGGGAATTTCCTTACTTCAGGGCATGTTTCTTTGCGTGCACCCGTGTTTAATTACCTTTAAGTTACTTGAAAGGGTCGAATACTCGGTAACAAGTTGTGCCTCGCCAATCATTCTATTCACACGAGTGAATATACCTCTAAGCTGTAATTACTATTTATTTGTCTGATAAGTATGCCGTACGTGGATAAAAAAAAAAATCTTGCCCTGCGTTTTAAACAAAGGGCGATTCGTGATAGACGTTGAATTTATGTGCGTCTTCGTGCCAACGATTAAACAAAATACGCCAGTCCGACTTCCATTAGTTTACGAAGATACTTTTGTCGCTCTCGCAAATCAATTGCAAATCAATCGCCCTTTATCCGACGTTTTTTAGTAGTGCCTATGGCTAGGCTCCGAACGATATTTAGCCTATATCTACTACAACGTTCTATAAATATTTTAGCCAGCAATATATTTCTCGAGGCGGTAATACGTACTATGTACAGTGCTCGTCAAAGTGGATGGATACCTTCCTAAAAGTTAAACCCCGTTAAGATGTCGATAGTCTAAAAGGTGATTAATCTTAAGTGCATTGTATAGAACCTGTCGAATTCCAACATGGTGGAGCATTTTAGCTTCTAGCAGGAATAAAAGCAGCGACCAGCCAGTGATTTCCAGTGAATGATGCGACGGTGCGCTTGTTCATTAAGAACTCTCCTAATTAACGTCGTAATCGCGAGATTAAGCCACGTTTATTTATTAATTAATTTTACCACGTGGTCGAGCGTTCTTCAGGTGTTACGAAAGGGTCATACTGTGCACGTCAAAATATTCATTAAAAAAAAAAAAAAAACGGGGTGCACCGAATAATCTGAAACTTTGACACGTGATTACGGAGGTCCTAATGAAAGTCTTGAAAATTTTTATAAATATTTCGACCTTTTGGTGTGATACTTTTAAGTAGAACGCGCTTTTTTTAAGAATCAGGAGGAACTCATGGACGACTCTCTGGATATTTTCGGGTCGTTTGAGAGATTCCTGAGGGATTTTCCTATTTTTTTTTTTTTCGAGGATTGGCGTAATGCCCGAAGGGGAAGGTGACGTATCCAGGGCGGCCTTAAGGAGTCCGATGACAAGAGAGACCGGAAGGTCTCCCGACCCGAGCCGAACTCCGATCGATCTTAGGAGCCATCGACGTCGTTTATTAACGCCGGCCAAAATTCAATCCGCCCTTGTTCTCGCTTACTGGCTCCTCTGTAACTCCAAGCCCTCCGAGAGGAATACGAGGGGATCGGTTCTCGGCATTGACGGAAAACGCCCCCCGAGTCCTGCGGTGCTTCCGAATAATGCACCGTGGGAAGAGGAGCCGGCAAACTGAACAATCTGACCCTGTAAACCCATTTTTGTTAAAGATTTTTGATTTGCCATTAATTCTTTCTCACTTCCTCGACGCTCCGATCGTTATCATAGCCTCGGATCCACCTCGAAGAGCGTTTCCGCTTTCTCGTTCGAAGTGACCCCTCTAGTCGGGCCTTCTGCAAATAAACCGCGACGAGATCGCGTTTCGTCTCGAACGGGACGTCTCCGGTTCGAGACGAAGTCGATGACTCTTTGACACGACTGATTAAATTGCACCCCCTATATTGCAGGACTCTCTTGGACGTCGGGGGCGGTAATAGCGTTATGGAGACCGGAGGTGGACCGATGACTCTTCCCTCGACCTGGCCAGGCTGCCTACCCTGGACTCCCGTGGAGGGTCCCCTTGAGTCCGGGGACAGGACCGGAACCACTCGAAAACTTGCAGAGGATCGAGTTACCCACCGTGCAGGCAAGAGGCAGGATGTCGACCTATGGTTTTGCACCCTGCCAAGAAGAAGAAGACCTAAACTCTCCGAGGACTTCTGCGGGACCTACGATCGCTCCTTCTTGCTCCCGTTTCATCGGTACTATATTAAGGTCCAAAGAAAGCTCTTCACTGGTTACCTCTACGATTCGGTATATTTGCAAACATTTTTGTCAGCGGGATTATTCCTACGGGAAGAGCAAAACTTTATCGGCAATTATTTCGTACGTGCTTTCGCCGTACTCTTGTATATGTTGTACATGGTGGGCGGCACCGGGCACTTCCTTATCCGTTTTTCCCGACAGGATAGACCGTGGGATTACGTGGATTCATCCGACCCCGTGATGCCGGGTCGGGCATCGCGACAAAAGGCTCCAGGTGGACGTGCAGCGAGCAGAAGGATCTTATACTCCGGCGATACGAACCGCGAGGTTCACGAGACGTCCGCAAGAAGCCAATAAACCTTCGACGTACCCGGAGGCTGTGGACAAAGATTTCGACCGGACAATGGAAGGCCGGACCTTAGGGCGGCCTCGACATCAATCCACTGGATCATGTACCGTTGTCATGTACTATAGCGACGCACATATCATGGCATTACTACCTCATCCGAATACCACGATTCAAGGTATCCTTGAAACCGTTCGCCATAAAAATGGGGATGACTTCAACCACTAGATAGCCCTACGATCGAATTCGGTGAAAAATCAAATTCTTCTCTGAAATCGAAATTTCGTGGGTTTCAAGAGCCTATAAATATTTTGAGATTATGGTATATTTGTATGGCGCTTTCATAAGACCTCAAAGGTCCTGAAACTCGTCACGAAGAGGACGCTCGTGTCAAAGAGGTCGACTTCCGAAGTGCACTTCGCGCCCTGAAGTGCAAGAGCCCCGCAATAACGGAGCACGTTTAAGGTCACTTACACGGGGCGAATTACGCGACAAGTAGTGGATGCGTCGATGGGAATACCCGGAATACCGGACGCCCAACGAGCCCTGGTCGATAAACCTTATCGCCGCGGACTCTGCCATTTCCTGGTGAATTATACCGCCATTGCGCGGGTACCCTAATTTTCGCGCAGCACCGAGAGGACAGTCGGAGCCGAAGCGATAGCACGGGAAATAAAGATAAGAGCTCTTTATCGAGGGAATTTCGCCCCGATGTGCCTCCCATGTGGGACACCTAAACGCAATACGGACCCGTCCACGCCATTACGGCTTTTTAAAGCTCTCGAACCTCCACCGAGGATTTAATTGACCCGTCATCGCGGTCTCCTCAGGCGCCGCGATCATCGGACCAATTAGTATAACGCAATGGCGCCAATCATCTAAATGCTTCGACAGCCAATAATTCAACCGCGCGATCGTCGAAATTGCTGCTGAAATCACGACTCGGAGTTAATAACGAGCAATATCCTAGTATTTATTGCAAGCCCCGATGCGATAATCGAGTCGGCGCGAGATATTTCCCATTTTTCATATCAATTTATACGGCTCACTCCGGACTACTGATAAGGCCGATTAATCGGACGCGCCATTTATTTGTCCCTTGATGGACGGATTCGCGAGTGGTCGTGGTTTCTCGGCGTTGTTCTTAGCTGGAGAAAAGGGGACCATTAATCTTAACCCTCCAATCTGTGCGCGAGAATTAATGGTCACGGTTATGACGTACGGGCTGCTCGACGAAGGGGTAGGTGTACGAGTATTTTCGTGTAGCTTGTATCGCGAGACGTGCCTCGCTTCGCGATCTAATCGCGGGATCCTCGATCCCCCTCGATTCGAGTCTAGGTTCGAACACTTCTGGCCAACTATCGACCTCTGCTTTGGTTCCGGGAGCACCCACGCACCCATATCGCTTCCTTTCTGGCACAGACGGCCCGAAATTGCCCAGGAAAGGAGCCATGAAATATGGAACGGCTTATCAACGGGAATTGCCTGGAGATAGCTCAACCATGGTACCCTCTTATTTATGATATCGTAATGACCGTAAGTATGTGGTTACGCCGCGCGAGGGAGCTGGAAATACCTCCCACCGAGTTCGATGCCAATGCCATCTAGCGGTTCAAGTCAAAGTCCCCGTTTTAGGGGCGAACGCCGCTAATGAAATCTCTGACGACGTCGAGGCTGATCCTGAACGCTGCGGTTGCACCTTTTTCTCCTGGAAACCGGGAAGTGAGTTTGATCGAACGACCGGGAGGGGAAGGTGTACTCCATTTCCAGCGCACATCGCGTATATTGCCGATTGATCAGAGGAATAAGCACTTTTATTCCTTTGCTCATCCTTCAACGTCCGCTGTAAACGGCGAACACGTGGATCATCTGTCTGTCTCGAGTTTTATTGCGCCGGCACTTCGTACGGAACGGAAGGAATTTATTTCCTCTCGATAATTGTCACGTGGGGGGAGTCGAAGAATCGTTTCTCTTGTCTCTTCTTGTCGGAGTCTCCCAAGATTTTGCGCCGCGCCTTTTTTCGGGACCCTCTTTTTTTTTTTTCCTTGTCCTGCTACAAGGGGAAGCTGCAATTAAATTAAATCTCCGGACGGGATCTTCCAGATTATATTGTGACACAAAGGCTTTCGGATGCCGAGTCGAGGACTTACCTCTTCGAGGCTTCCGGGTGGAGGCAGATGTCAGAGTTTGCTCTCGCAGTTACCTTTACTATCTGCCATTATGCTATCTACTCTGATGCACGCCGGCAAAAACCATCCCTATGGAGATTACCCTCTTATCACGCTTATCATCGATACCTTTTCGCGCTTATTACGCGCTCCGGGAATTATTCGGATTGCCGATAACTTCCGGGAAGAAATTTCCAATATGTCGAGTGGCTGAAAACGCGATTAATTGTGCACGTCGCGTAGCAAACGCTCGACAGTTAAGTACGGTCGTTAAATTCCCATCGATTTAGTCAATAATCGACGTTGCTGTTCGCGTCCAAATCCCCTGGCGATTCCGCTTCCTCTATTTTTCTCCGCCATTTTGGCACCGGCCCATGGCTTTATTTTATTTTATTTCTTTTTTTACCAACCCCGATTCCTCTCGCGTGCGCTCGAAATTGCGGTATTAATGACCCAAGAAATTTACAGACATGTCGGGCTGCGAGCATGCCATTTAATTATCGCTGGTATCCCGACCATGTAGCCGCAATGGTTGCGACTTACGCGAAACCGCAAGCCGGGAAACGGACGAGGATTTAACGAGCGTTAAGGTGGCATAAAAGGGTTATTCTATACATATATATAAAACGTAAAAATATTTCATCGTTTCTATCAGTTTATTTTTCAATAAATTTACTCGAGATACAAGAAGTATCGATGGCATTGGCGGAGGAGCATCGATGCCGAATTTTTTTAGGACTCTCCTTTCGAGAGGAACTTTTTTGAAAATCCTGAACTAGGGGAGAAAATTGCAAAGTCGTGCCTGGATTTTTCACCGGACGGATACGGACCGGCTGCTGAGGCCGGAAAGATACACGCGAAGTTCGAGTGCATAAATCCCGAAGGATCGGCGAAGTTTGCGCATAGGCGAAGCTCAAAGTCCTCGTCGTTTCCGGTCGGACTCTTTCCTGAAGAATGGAGGTTATTCTCGTCCGGGTCGTTGTGCCAGGAGGAAGTCTTTTGGCCGAAGTTTGGAGAAGAGAGCGCTTCCGTGCCAGCGCTTTCAATGGGATTGGCATCGTTGCTCATCGGATTTGCAGATGCATACGGATGCATCTCATGAAGATGCATGGAGACGCGGTGCCACTTTTTCCTTGTATTTTTTCGACGACACCGAGCAACGCGGTCTCAGGGATCTTAAGGGGATGTGGACGGAAACGACATATGGAGT